GACACTGTGGGGACACTGGGCACACTGAGGACACTGTGGGGACACTGTGGGGACACTGGGGACACTGTGGGGACACTGTGGGGACACTGTGGGGACACTGGGGACACTGGGGACACTGGGGACACTGTGGGGACACTGTGGGGACACTGTGGACACTGTGGGGACACTATGGACGCTGTGGGGACACTGTGGGGACACTGTGGACACTGTGGGGACACTGTGGACACTGTGGACACTGTGGACACTGTGGGGACACTGTGGGGACACTGTGGATACTGTGGGGACACTGTGGGCACACTGGGGACACTGGGGACACTGTGGACACTGTGGGGACACTGTGGGGACACTGGGGACACTGTGGACACTGTGGGAACACTGGGGACACTGTGGGGACACTGTGGACACTGTGGGGACACTGTGGGGGCACTGTATGGACACTGTGGACACTGTGGGGACACTGTAGGGACTCTGTGGACACTGTGGGGACACTGGGGACACTGAGGACACTGTGGGGACACTGTGGGGACACTGTGGATACTGTGGGGACACTGTGGGGACACTGGGGACACTGGGGACACTGTGGACACTGTGGGGACACTGTGGGGACACTGGGGACACTGTGGACACTGTGGGAACACTGGGGACACTGTGGGGACACTGTGGACACTGTGGGGACACTGTGGGGACACTGTATGGGCACTGTGGACACTGTGGGGACACTGTAGGGACTCTGTGGACACTGTGGGGACACTGGGGACACTGAGGACACTGTGGGGACACTGTGGGGACACTGTGGACACTGTGGGGACACTGGGGACACTGTGGGGACACTGGGCACACTGAGGACACTGTCGGGACACTGTGGGGACACTGGGGACACTGTGGGGACACTGTGGGGACACTGTGGGGACACTGGGGACACTGGGGACACTGTGGGGACACTGTGGGGACACTGTGGTCACTGTGGGGACACTATGGACGCTGTGGGGACACTGTGGGGACACTGTGGACACTGTGGGGACACTGTGGGGACACTGTGGACACTGTGGACACTGTGGGGACACTGTGGGGACACTGTGGATACTGTGGGGACACTGTGGGCACACTGGGGACACTGTGGACACTGTGGGGACACTGTGGACACTGTGGATACTCTGGGGACACTGTGGGGACACTGTGGGAACACTGGGAACACTGTGGGGACACTGTGGGGACACTGGGGACACTGTGGACACTGTGGGGACAGTGTGGACACTGTGGACACTGTGGATATTCTGGGGACACTGTGGGGACACTGTGGGAACATTGGGGACACTGTGGGGACACTGTGGGGACACTGGGGACACTGTGGGGACACTGTGGGGACACTGTGGACACTGTGGGGACACTGTGGGGACACTGTGGACACTGTGGACACTGTGGGGACACTGTGGGGACACTGGGGACACTGTGGACACTGTGGGGAAACTGGGGACACTGTGGACACTGTGGATACTCTGGGGACACTGTGGGGACACTGTGGGGACACTGTGGACACTGTGGGGACACTGTGGGGACACTGTGGACACTGGGGACACTCTGGGGACACTGTGGGGACACTGGGGACACTGTGGACACTGTGGGGAAACTGGGGACACTGTGGACACTGTGGATACTCTGGGGACACTGTGGGGACACTGTGGGGACACTGTGGACACTGTGGGGACACTGTGGGAATACTGGGGACACTATGGGGACACTGGGGACACTGGGGACACTGTGGGGACACTGTGGACACTGTGGACACTGTGGGGACACTGGGGAGACACTGGGGACACTTGGGACACGGGACACTGTGGGGACACCTGGGGACACCACGGGGACACTGGGCACAGGCCTCTAAGCGTGGTGCCCTGCTGGGCGAGCTCTGCATTTTGTCTCGTCTCGTGAAGAACGTCAGAACATCACTGGGAGCCTGTCTTTGGGGCCTGGGTCCCACATGCGCCAAGTGTCGTCGACCCCTGGAGGTGCCCAGGACTTTAGACAGAGGGCAAGTCTGTCCGTCCGTCCTCCGTAGCTCCCAGGACTGTGGGTCTCGAGGTCACGGCACAGGGTCTAGGGCCCTTGACCTCGGCGACCTGGATGCAAGAGCAGGGCAGCTCTGCACAGGGTGCCTAGGTCAGGCCCCTCCGTCCGCCCGCCGCTGGCCACCAACACAGCCTCCTTCCGGCTGCTTCGTTAGTGAGCAGAGGAGAGCTCATGTCTGTAAGGTGAGAGGTCAGCCCGTCTCCTGGTGAAAGGTGTGCAAGGCTAGGAGATGTCAGCTCGCCTCCTGCTGAAAGGTGTGCAAGGCTAGGAGATGTCAGCTCGCCTCCTGCTGAAAGGTCTGGGAGCGGGACTCCGACTGGGCGTCAGAGGGAGGCTGAGGGCCGGCCCGCCACCAGGGGGCGCTCAGGCCAAGCGCAGCCGCCCTCCCGGCGGGAGCAGAGAACGGGCCGCGGACACGGCTCTTGCACAGCCATTTCCTTGGAGCCGCAGGAAGAGACCAGCTGATGTTCTGCACTGTGGCCGCTGAGGGCAGCTGCCTGGGTGGGGGTGCCCTGCTAGTGACGCCTCGCCGCCACCCCGCCTTCCTGCTGCGAAAGCAGGGGGAATAACAGGGCCCGCCGTGTAGACGTGAAAGATGCCAGTCCATTCAGGGCAGGTCGCGGGGTGCAGAGCAGACACCCGCCCTTGAGGGTCCGCTGCTTGGCCACGAGCGCCACCGTCAGCTCTTCCTCCCCAGGCCCTTTCCCCGCCCAGCCCACCACCTGGTTTCCTCCTAATCTGCCAGCCTGTTGGCAGGTGCCTGCGCTGGGCGGAGCGGCCGTGGAGCGCCGCTTTCCAGGAGATGCAGCTGACATCTGTTGGGCAGCGAGCGGCAAGTCAGGACGCGCTGGGCATCCTCGCTTGTCTCCTCCAAGAATGGAGGCTCTGAGAGGCCAGGGTTTGTTCAACCACCAGGTGTCCCCTGAGTATCACTTGGCACAAGGCGGGCTTTCAGCAAACACTGACCAACAATAGTGGGGAAGGGTTTATGAGCATAGAAGGAAAAATTATAAAAACAAAACAAAACAAACAAAAAATAAAACCCCAAAACTAGTGCAATGTGGAGTCAATTTTGTAAAAAACTGTGTTTACCTATCTCCATATACAGCGCTCTCTATGTATTTGAGGGAGAAACAGAAATCCGGCCGGTGGTAGTATGAAGGTCACAAGGGGACAGGTTACACGCTTTCTGCCAGTTCCCATGTTGCCCACAGTGAAAGCGCATGTGTGATTTGGGGGAGACTAGCAACCCTGGGAGGAACAGGCTGGCGGCAGGGACAGGCCCCGGGGGGCACTGTGTCCACCAGAGCCACTGGGCTGGGCCTGCCCTGGGAGCCTTGCGGCCTCAAATTCACTGGTCTGAGCAGCTGTGGGCCAGCGAGGCCGGGGAGGGAGTTGGGTCAGGCCGGGGGCCCAAACTCGAAGGCTGAGTAGGGGGCCCTGAGGACTGGGGCCCTCCCGGGGATAAATGCTCGCCTCCCACCTGCAGTCCATGGGGGCTGGGCTCTGAGCACCGAGATGGACAGAGAGCTCCACGGCCCCCAGGCGGCAAGGGTGGGGGCTCGGCCTCCCTCCTGCACTGGAGCGAGCGATCCCTCCACCAGCAGTGACTTTAGGGCTCCACGCTCATCAAGGGTGACCTGGGTCACGGTATTGCCTCCGCTGGCTGTGGCCCAGCTCCCCAGGTAGGGGTCTCTCTGTGGCCTCAGCAGGCCTGGGGGTCAGATCGAAGGCTCCCAGGCAGGGTCCACCTGCCTTTCTAGAGCCTGGCCCATGGGCAGGAGCCACCTTCACACCCACACTGTCCTGCCGGTTCTCATGGGCCACCCGACTGGCTCCCTGCAGGCACCCCAGCTGACCCAGGAGGTGAAGGTCACCACCCGCAGCCAGACATGCTCATGTGTGGGGCTGCCCTGTGCCCGGCCCTTCCGTGGCTCTGAACCAGGCCAGCTGTCCGTGGTGGCCAGGGATGGACAAGGGTGAGTGTTGGTTGGGGACCAGTCACACTCCTGGCCTGTGGCCTCCTCTGGCAATTCTCTGGAAGCTTCTCTCGGTGTCCATCTCGGTGGCCAGGTGCCAGAGCTGGGAGCTGCCACCCAGGGGCAGGGACAACAGGGACACTTGCTTGGGAGGCTGTGCCTGCTGGTGGAGGCCACGGATGCATCCTCAGGCAGCGCTGTGATACCGTGTCCTCAGTCTTGGGCTGAGTCAGACACATGTCCAGAGGCAGGTTGCCAAGCCCCAGCTGGTTGGACAAAGGAGCCTCAGATCTCGTGGGGTCTCCCTGGTGCAGCTCCCCTCCAGGTCCTGCATCCCTCCCCTTGCAGGCAGCATCTCCCTGTGGCTGCACCTCCTCTGTGTGGTCCTTAGGGCTCCCAGTCCAGCTGTAGGAGCGCCCGCCCCTTGGTCTTCAGGGACCAATGCCCAGGTCCCGCTGTGCCCTGGTGGCAGCTGTGGTTGGGGCCAGGCCCCTGGGGGGTCTGGGGCTAAGTGTGGTGCTGCATGACCACGTGACCTGGGAGGGGAGGAGTGACCATGTGACCTGGGAGGTGTGACCACGTGACCTGGGAGATAAGTCCCTGAGCTGCTTCTCCTCCCTGATGTACATTTTGTGGGACAAGATTCATGCCAAGAAGGGATGGGGCCCTTGAGAGGTACAACATCTTTCATTCACTTTTTATTGCGTCTTTAAAAGATGGCCTCATCGCTTCCCAGTGATGGAGCATCGTGTGTGAAGCGGTCACGGTGCCTCTGAAGCAGGCTTCTCTGGTGTTTCAGGACAGCTGTCTGCATCCTCGCCCCTCCCGGTCTGGCTGGCCTAGGAGCCAAGTGGAGGCCCAGTTACTGGCCGGAGGGGCAGGTCTGGGGTAGGACCCGGGAGGCAGCCTGCCCCCCGCCCGGCCCCTCCCTGAGCCTGACTTACCTTCTCCAGCCTACGCACTCTCCTTCACCTTCTTCCTGGTGGGGTATGGGATGCAGCATACCCAGCTGGTCCTGGACCTGGAGGCCGAGGGGAGGGGGTGAGAGGCACCCTGCCCCCTCCCACCAGCTCCGCGTGGGTAAGCTCGCCAGCCAGAGACAGCTCCCAGGCCCCTCTGGGGCCCTCCCCTCTGCTGCCTCGGCTTCTCCAGCCCAACAGGAGCCCCTTGAGCACGAGAGGCCTTGAAGGCCCACTGAGCCTGCCGCCCTGTCCATCCACAGCTCAGTCGTGAATAGGCATCGCGGGTGGACAGTGCCCACCCCAGCCCAGTGCTTCCAGAGCACCGTGGCCTGTGCCTATTCCTGCTGGGGGGGACTCTGGGGGTTCCACTTCCAGCCAAGGCTGTCTCTGGGGTCAGATGGCACTCCTCTTCCATCACTCACTGCTCTCCACGGCTCTGGGTCAAAGTGCCCCACTGGGCCCCTAACAGGCACCTGGGTGCCCGAGGGGGCCGACTGGACGGACTGAGGCTGCGGGTGAGCAGGCAGGTGACCCCGCCTCCCTGGCGAGTATCCAGGCACCCACTATGAGCAGACCCTGTCCTGTCGACTGAGCAGCTGTCAGCCGCCGAGGCCTGGTTCCTAGGCATGGCCCATCCACAGGTTCTCTGGGGCCGCTGAGCACAGAGTGCGGGAGCCAGACCCGGAGGCTGAGAGGTGGGCCTGGGCCTGCCTGGCCTAGGGCAGAAAAGGAGCTGCCAGGTTGTGCCTAGGGTGACCAAGTCCATCACCACGTCCAGTAAGAAACGATGAGAAAAGCAGACATTAGCTTAAGAAAGACTTTCCTGGCAAGCCTAGATCTGAGGCCATGCCAGGCAGTCCTGACACCTTGGTAAAAGCTGTGTGCCTGGCCGTGTGAGCAGAGATCAGCACAGACTTGGGGGTGACACCTCCTCAAAGGGACACTGTTCCCCCGGAACCCAACCCAGGGAGAGGCAGTAACAGCCACCGCCAAGTCGCAAAGGGCCGGGACGCTGCAGCCAAGCACGTCTGGAAGCACAGGAGCGTGGCCGGGGGCCCCCGCCCCAGCTCGCCCGCGCTCCAGCCTCTGCTCCTGGTCCCTCAGGGCCCAGGCTCCCAGACGCCCCCACTGTTCCCAGTTGGTGGCACTTGGGTATTTTAAACTTTCCCTCTCTGTTGTGCTATTTCATGTGACTTCATTTATTTTAAATGACTATCAGTTTTACAAGGTGAACAGAGAAATTTTTCTTTTTAAAACTGGGCAAGCAAATCAGCTGAGATATTAATACGGTTATTAATACGGTGAGAAGTGGATGAACAGCTATTTTCTTGTTTGCGCTTCTCTGTACCATTTAAAATACCATCGACCCACAGCCCTTGGGCGAGCATCGCGCCTCCTCCTGACTCCAGAGCCTCTGATCTCTACCCCGGAGGGTGGAGGCATTGGGACAAACACTCCCCTGACCACAGCCCACCTCCCCCCAAGTGGACTCCTCACTCACTCGTCCTCTGACACATCCCCCATGTCCTTCTGGGACCGCTTCTCTTCTTTCGTGATGCACGTGATCACCTGTGGGGCGGGAGCAGTTGAGGGGACAGGGTGGGAGGCATTAGGGACCAAGGCTGGACCTGCTGGACCCGCCGAGAACAAGATGGGGCCATGGAGACGGCCCTGAGCATCCTCCCACGCAGCAGGCCCCGTCAGGCACGGATTTCTAGCTAGGGGGCCCAGACCAAGGAACCATGTCCTTGACCCTGCAATGCAAGTCAGAAGGCCTGGTCCCTCAGTCCCAGCTGTGCCCCTGGCTGAACCTTCTCGAGCCACGGTAACCTCGGTGTGAGCCAGTCACCAACTCTCTTCACCGTGCATCATGTTCTGAGGGCAAAGAGCTAGGAAGGACCACCTGGAAAGGAGCAGCCCCGAGGCAGGGGCGAATTAGAGAAAGCTTCCAAAGAGACGGCTACTCGCTACAACAGAAACAGAGGATATTTGTGTTGGAAAGACCCAATCAGGCCACTGGGTCAACCACTTCCATTTACAGAGAGTGGTGCTGAAATGATGGTGGTGTTGGAGGTGGTGCAGGTGAGGCTGATGCTGATGGAGACAGTGAGTGGGGTGGTAGTCTTGATAATGGTGGAGACAGGGACGATGGTGGTGGTAGGGAAGATAGTACCTGATACAGGGGCTCTCTGGGCACCAGGCAGTGTTCTGAGGGTGCTACAGAACACTGCTGGGCTGCAGGTATTAAGATTCCTATTTTGCAGATGATAAAACTGAGTCATGGAAAGGCATGGTGACTTGTGTGAGCCTTCCCTGCATGTGGAGCCTAAATCTCCCAGCTCCTGGCTTGGCCCACAATCCCACAAGAGGTTCTCGAGGCCCCCGGGCACCTCGAGTGTTGCCCCAGGCCCTGGGGTTGCTGGTGGTGCAGGAACGAGTGTGGGTTGGCTTGAGGGAGTGAGAAAGAGGCCCGGGTGCCCTCTGGTCCCCAGGCCAGTCCTCAAACCCCAGGCCCTGTCTCTCCTCAGCGGCCAGCACACCCTGCTCGGGCACGTTCCCAGGACCGCTGTGGGCCCTGATCTTGCTGCCTCCCTGTGGGTGGCCCGGCTTTCTCGGCTCTGGTGCTTTACCTCCTCGGCACGGTCTCCCAGGTCAATGTCCACAAACACAGATGGTTTCTGTGGAGGGAAATCAGAGACACATGGATGATGGGTGTGGCTGAGGGGGGGCGGGGAGTGCAGCTTCCTGGGAGGGGCATGGGCTCGAGGCCCCGTGGTGCTCAGATCTGGGCATTCATTACCCCGGGGTCACCACACCCTGGCTGTGTGTGGTGGGAGCTCCTGGCAGAGGGCGGGGAGGTCTGGCCTCCCCAGCACCCTCGGTCACCTCATATCAGGTCCCTGATGACCCAGAGGGGCCCCCCACCTTTACCTGCTGAGAACCAGAGCCTGGGTGAGCAGGCACGCCGAGAGCTGGGTGGACGCTGCATGCCCACATGCTCTCCTGGGCTCCATCTGCAGGCGGCCCTCCGCCTGGTGCAGATGCACACAGGGCCTGAGGGCCCGGGGTCTGTGTGGCGGTTGCCCTATGTCTCTGCCCCTCAGGCTCCTTGGCTCAGCCCCGAAAGTGCCCCTGTGGTAGCGCCTCGGTCAACACCGGGAGAAGTGTTTCTGGGAGTGGAGGGAACCCCAGAACCCCCGGACACGGGTCCAGGGCCACCGGTGTAAACCCTGGCAAGACCGCCCAGCTCCTCTCCACTCCCATGAGCCCGGGGGTGGGCGGCATCCAGGGAGGGCTGTACCCCGGGCTGGGGCTGGGCTGGGTCTCCCCACAAGGCTGAGCTGAGGGTGTCTCGTGCAGGACTCTCTGCCCCCTGAGTGCGGTGCTGCTTTGCGAGCTGGGGTTAAGGTGCCCCAGGGCGGAGCACAGAGCCCGGTGCCGAGGGGGCTCAGGGCCGGTCCACGCAAGCCCGGCTCCGCCCGGGGACCGACCGGCGTGCACAGCAGGACCGTGCCCCGTGGCCTCCCCGCCTGACTCCGCTACTGACGCGAGACTGTCTTGCCTCTTTTTCCAGAAGGTCGTCTAGCTTGATGGACTCGGGCTCCTGTTCCTGTGAGGAGGAGGCGGGACAGACCGGGTAAATGGGCAGGGCTGAGCCGGGGGCTGGCCGCGCAGGGGGGGTGCTGCCCACCTTGGCCTCTGGGGTGCACTCATCTGCGCCCTCCCCTCCGGCCGGCTGCTCGCAGCGGGTGCTGGCCTCCTCCACCTTCGCGTCCTCTGGCGCCTGCCCGCGGGCATCCTGGCCCCCGTCCTGCTTGTCCTCCAGGCTGGCCTGGCTGCAGGGGGTGGAGACAGTTGGGAGACAGCTTCGTCCTAACCCTAACCCTAGCCCTGGGAGCCTGTGCTGTGCCCCTGCGTTGGCAGAGGGGCAGGGGTGGTGGGCAAGGCAGGCCCTGGGGGGAGAGGAGGTGCGGAGGCAGAGACGAAGGGCTCCAAGAGGCTGTCCTGACCCAGACCCACCCAGCGCGAGGGTTGCCCTGGGGCCCTGGCAGCCTCCCGGGGGGAAGCTTTCTTTCTGGAGATCCCGGGGAAGGACAGCAGAGAGGTGCCAGCACCGAGGTGCTGGGCCGGGCTAAGCCACGCTGCTATTTGCTGGGTGGCCCGCCCCTCTGAGCCTCCCTGGACCCTGCTGCCCTGCTTCAGGGCCTCCAGGCCTGGCTCCCGCCCCGCCTCCCACGTCCCCGCACGCGTCTGCATGGCTGCCTCTGCTGTGCCGAGGCCGCTCACCAGCTGGCACCTTCTGCTTCACTCCTGGCGTCCTTCCCCGGGTCTTCGGACTCTGAGAAGGGCAGCAGAGCTGCGGTCGGTCTGCACGGGTGCTGACGGCCGCCCGCAGGGGGCCCGGCTCCGCTACCCCGCTCGGACCCAAGCCCCCGGCACCCTCGCCCGGGGGCCCACTGGCTCTGGCATCCCCGTCAGCAATTTGCAGGCTAGTGAGGGGCCCCGAGGGGTCGCAGCTGGGCCGAGGGGTCCCTGTGGGGCCTCGCCTTCTCAGTGGAACTTGGGGAGCCTGTGGTGTTGCTGTGTTCTCCCGGAGGCAGCAGTGGTCGGGGCGGGGGGAACTCGGTCTGTGGCCCCCCCGGAGGCGGCATCTGAGCATCAGTGGCCCAGGGCACTGTGGGAGCGGGTTCTTGGCTACGGGGTCTGTCTGTGAGCAGAGCAGGGTGCCTCACACATGGGGAGCAGGGGGGTCGCATCTCAGGGCCTCATGGGGCAGCGTGAGCCCTGAGCTCTGAGCAGGAGGCTGTGGCTTCCTGGTGAGACACAGGTTCTTCGCTCCAGAGCTTGGAGCTCACAGTGGGGGTTCCCACAGGCCCCGGGGCCTCAGAGGACTCTCGGAGGGGCCCCGAGGTTGCTGCGCTCCAGCCCCACAACCTCTCAGCCCCCCTGAGCCTGAGGCACCCCGTGGCTGCTCCAGAACCCCCTGCCCCTGGTGGCCCAGTTCCCACCCCAGCCTGACACACACCCTGGGCCCTGGTCCTGCAGCTGGCACAGTCTAGGAGGCTCCCAGCTTTAAGGAGCGCTCTCGGCAGGACGCCCGGCAGGACGCCTCTGGCGGCCATGGTTCTGGAGGGTTTCCTACAGAATCTGGTGGCCAGATTGGCTACTCAGGGTCTTTTCAGCTCGCAGGCCTCGGGGCTGGGACACCGCCAGGGAGGGGGTCAGGGCCAGCCCCTTGTGGGCGCCCTGCCAGCTGCGCCACTTCGTCCACTGGCCCTTGCCACCTCGCACGCTGTTCCTCCCCCCAGCCCTGAGTCCGTGTCCCCGGCTCCTGACATCCTCCAGAGCCGTCCTTCACGGGGACCTGGGCCCCCTGCCCAGGGTTAAGTGACCTTCCGTGGAGGGAGTTTTCTGCCAGGCCTGGCCTCCCTTGTACTCAGCACCCACGCCCCGGGCTGGGTCATTCGTGGACCTTCCCTCGCCTCTGGGCTGAGTTCCCTGCAGGTAAGAACTGGGTGCTGTGCGTCCTCCTCTGTTTCCAGCACCCGCACAGGCTCCAGGGCACCTGCTGACCTGTGCTGTGCTGTCCCCAGGCAGGCCCTGGCCACCCAGAGACAAAGTCCTGAAGGCCAGGGGTGCAGCTGCAGCGGGCCTTCAGAGAACGTTTCAGAGCTCAACTGCTCTCATCAGGAAGGGCCCGAACAGTCAGGAGCCGCTGTTTGCAGTCCTCCAAAGTGACTTCTGGAAAATCTTCAGCAGCCCCTAGACTACGTGCACACGTGTGTGCCTGTGTGCTGGTGCACATGGCTGTGGGTGTACAAGTTCGCACACGTGTGTGCTGGCGCGTGTGCCTGTGTGTGAGCACATGTGCTGGGGCTCATGCCTGTGGGTGTGCGAGCGTGTGCACGTGTATGTCGGCACACATGTCCCTGTGTATGCAAGTGTGTGCATGCGTGTGTGCTGGCACCCTATCCCTGTGTGTGTGAGTGTGTGCACACGTGTCTGTGCATGGGCTGGCCCACATACTCTCCACAGCTCCCTCCTCTTGCGTGGACTGACAGGAGAGGAAGCATCAGCAGGAAGAGCTGGTTCTTCTCTGCTCCGCCACAGCCGCAGAATGAGCAACAGCCGCCTTTTCCTCCAGCTCACCATTGTCAGAAAGGGAAACACTCGTGTTGATGGGTCCCCCGTCTACCTTCTAAGGAAGATCCTGCATTCACGCAGGTTCTGGGCATGTCTGCAGGGTCTGTAATGATCTCCGGGCAGACCGGAGGGCTGCTCCTCTGGGCTCCACGAGCAGCGTCAGGAGGGGGCGCAGGGGGTCGGGAGTTGGCCTGGAGGTAGAGCACCCCTTTTGCTGCCTCCCTACAGCTGGGCTCTAAGCGACCCTCACACCACCCACAGGTCACTGTCTGAGCTTGAGTCGACCCCATAGGTCTGAGATGAGCATGAAGGGTGGGCAGGCCAGGTGGCGAGGGGCTGACATTGCAGAACCCTCTGCACGACCACACCGACACTGCCTTGCAACGAGGGCGCCCCTCACTCCCTTCACAGCAGGAGCCTCCTCCGGCCCGTGGATCTCAGTGGGTCCCACCATGTGGAGCAGCCCGAGGCCTGGAGCCCACCCTCTGAACAGCCCTCGTCCTCCTGGACACGCCCTGCAGGAGGGCCGTTGGGAGCAGGGGCTGATCAGGGGTCCCGGGGCAGGTTCTGTGCAGTGAGGCGGTTGCCAGGCTGCCGGGTCCCAGGCGAGGCGCTCAGAGCGCAGGCATGGCCCTGCGGCTTCTGCACCTTCCAGCTGGTATGTCTGCGATGCCCCCCCACCTGCGACCCTGTGGTCTTGACAGCCACAGGTCAGGCAGCACCAGCCTCCTCCCTCGTGATCTCCGCATGCGAGCGTTGAGGCCGGGTGGGTCTCTGGCGCTCCCTCAGGGGGGCCATGTCTTGTTCCATTTGATCACGTGGACAGCAAGGCCGGCCCTGTGTTCCAGCCCCTCTGAACTGTCCGGGACCTCCTGGGCCTGGAGCCTCAGGGCGGGTGGGCACAGGGCAGGACGAGGCTCAGCTCGGCGCGCCCGGCCATCCAACCTCAGGAAACCACGTGGTGCTGGATAGGAAGGTCTGAGGCCAGTGTTACTGGGAGACACCACAGCCACCTGCAGTGCTTCTGAGCAGGTTATGGGTTGGTCTCCTCTCGGGGACTCAGCCCTCCTGAGAGCCCTACACAGAGCAGCCATGCTGGATGGGGGGTGGGGGAGACGGAGTGGCCTCTGTGCGGTGACCTCCTCCTCCGACACAGCTTTGGATTTTTAAGCTGAGAAAACAAGTATTTTTACACCACGGCCTCTTAATGGCACTCCTAGGGCTCGAGCGGCCAGTTGCATTCCTGTTCACTGTTTCTTTTCCTGGGCCTGAATGAGGTCTTGGCAAAGGGTGCTTGCTGGCGTGGCCTTCTCAGAACCACGACCTAGGGGCCCCACCGATGACTGGCAGCTCCCCGTCTCTCCACCAGCTCAGGGCCTGCTGCCCCGGGGTAGCTGACCCTCAAGGGGCAGGTCCACATCAGCACCAGTGCATTTCAAGCACCCATCCCCACCTTGGGCACACCACTGCCTGCTTGCGGGGTTAGCAACACGCTGGAGTGGGAAACAGACAACATAAGATGCAAATGTGCACAGTTCACAATGTAAGAGTCTCACTCGTGCCATGTATGGTGGGCGGCTCCAGCCCCACAGGTTCCCCGCTGCCCCTGTGAGGCCCCTGGTTCCCACAGTGGAATCGAGGCTCGCCCTGGAGCCTCACTATGAACCCGAGACACTTTCCACACCACCTCAAGAGCCAGAGGTGTTCCCAAAGTACTCGATGCCTTCACAGGTCACAGGGGCCAGGTCTCTGTCCCCACCCCTTCCTCTTGCCCTCAGCAGAGCTTATAGCAGGCCCCCCTGAAGCCCTGGGCTGGCCCCCAGGATGGGCCCCCGAAGCCCCCGGCCCTTAGGATGGGCCCCCACAGCCTCTAGCCCTTAGGATGGGCCCCCACAGCCCCACGTGCAGGGATCAGGGACCCACGTTAGCTCTGGGTGAGCCGCCTGCCCCCACCTAGCTCCTTGCACAGCTTCTTGATGCAGCTCGGCGGGTCCCCCTTCTGGAGCAGGCCGCCCACACTCCGGCTCCGCTGCAGCTCGGCCATCTCGCTGGCTGCCTTGAGGTGTGCAGTGCCCACGCCCGTGGGAGGGGCGCCGGGGCCAGGCCGGTGCCTCCTGTGGGCGGCCATGCCGTCCTTGTCCATCCTCCCCACCTTCTGGTCACAGCAGAGTGGGGGGTGGCGCTCCCGAGTGGCCCTCAGCTGGAGCACATGGCTTCGCCCCACAGGGAGCTGCCCACGGGCACCGGCCCTGTTGCTAGGTGGCCCCTGTGACATCACTACAGGGACAGAGGCCAGGGGTGCCCAGCCCCAGGATGTGGCTTCAAGCGGCCTCCCCAGGCGCCCGGCCACAGCAGAGGCGGAAGGCCAGCGGTCGGTGCCAGCACGCGGTTCCCGGGGCTCCTGGAGCCATGTCTGCCGAGCCTTCAGTGAATCCTTTGACTCTTCGCAGGGACGAAGGACCTGGGGGGCGGTGGTTTCGCTACTTGGCTGGCAGTCTGGGCCCTGGTGGCATCCTGCGTCCTCCCCATGCCAGACGAGGGGAGATTCGCTCAAATGTGACATCGTGGGGGTGGGTTGCCACCTGGGGACAGGATCCTCAGAACTGTGCTGACGAAACCCTTCCCTGCCTTTAAGTGGGGCCTTTTGCTGGCGTGTCCATAACCAGGGCTTGGGCAGTGTCCACAGCAGACACTCTGGGTCTGGAGCCCAGGGCCAGACGTCCAGGCGTGGCTGGGCTGCTCTCCGGAGGCCTCTTTCCTTGAGTGTGGACGCCGTCTCCTCACCACGTGCTCACGGGGTCATCCCGTGTGTGTCTGGGTCCTAATCGCCTCTTCTTAAAAGGACGCCAGTCAGACTGAGCCAGGGTCTCTGAGGGACCTCAGGTGACCTTCGTCACCTCTTTAAAGGCCTGTTTCAGACGCAGTCACTTTATGAGGTCCTGGGGGTCAGGATTTCACACTATGTGGGGCACAGTTCAGCCTATAACACAGTCTAACAGAAAGGTTCTGATGATCTATTCAGCAAGGATTTTTCTTCTCCTCTGGGACCACGGGGGGCAAGTCACAGCAGAGGTTTCTTGAGCACCGGCCGACAGCACTGTGTGTTGTCAATGTTCAGAATGAAGCCAAAGTGACTGATCCCCATTTCCCACATCCATCCCTGAACATCTCACAGCACTGTAGCTCACAGGAGGCCTGGGGCCTGCCAGCCAGCCCCACCTGTGACTGGGGGGGCCTCACCTGTCCTCGGGGGCCTCACCTGTCATTGGGGGGCCTCACCTGTCCTCAAGGGACCCCACCTGTCACTGGGGGGCCTCATCTGTCCTCAGAGAAACCTCACCTGTCGTCAGGGGGGCCTCATTTGCTGTCAGAGGACCTCACCTGTCATGAGAAGGACCCCACCTGTCATCATGAGGACCCCACGGGTCATCAGGGGAACCTCACCTGCCATCACGCGTGTGGCATTAAACTCCTTCCTGCCCCGCTCCACCACCCACCCCGTCTCCACAGGTTCATATTATCAGTGGGTGCTCCTGTGAAACCAAGTCAGTCTCAGAAAGAATAAAAGGTCTGTTTTAATTAGCCAGTAAAATACATCGCACATCATTAGTATCTTAGAAACATTAAGTTACAAATTCATGTTAAAAATTGCAGTTTGGAGCAGGCTAATAGTTGTGTGATGCAATTTTCTTTTTTGCAATAATTTCTTCCACCATTTGTGACAACTGCTAACATTTCTATCTGCATCTGGATCTCCAGTGACTGACAGACAGCACAGGGTACCGGGTCCCAGGGGTCTGAATGGGGCTTTCCAAATTCAGGCTCAGCCTGGCTGACCTGAGGGCATCAGAGGCAGCAGCTCTTCCCGGGCCTGGCATCTGCTCCCGAGGCCGCCCAGCGCTGGCCCAGCGGTTCCCCCTCCCTTTCCTCTCGGGGACTTGACTTGGCCGCTGTGAGACACGCCCATTCCCTTTTTTGACACCCATTGTCACCAAATTTCTGCAAGAGGACCCCTGCCCCCAAAGATCAAGGCCGTCCTCAAACTGGGATCTCCGTGTGGTTCTGACCCTCCAAACAGGGGTGATACCAACGTCAAAGCTGAAACCAGGAGGCCTTGTGTTGAGGCCTTGTCACCCATGAGACACACCCATTCCCTTTTTTGTCCTAAGGTGGCACCTCCCTTGAATGGTAGCGCCTTGGATGTTCCAAGTTATTAATACTTTATATCAAAGAGCTAATTTAAAACGGTTCTTTAAAAACATTAAGAAAAACAGCTTGAAAATACTGCACATTTCCATTTTTACAAACTTCCCCAAACTCCCACCAGGATGGCATTCTGCTTTAAGTCCCACTGACAGCAAACAACACAGCTCTCCTTGATGCGGCAGTTGGGTGGATGCATTTCAGCAGCAAGGTGGGAATGAAGGCTGGGACCCCCAGGAAATCTCTGCAAGAGGACCCCTGCCCCCAAAGATCAAGGCCATCCTCCAGCCGGGATCTCTGTGTGGCTCTGACCCTCCGGCCAGGGGTGGCACCAACGTCAAAGCTGAAACCAGGAGGCCTTGTGCCGGTGGCCGCCCGGACAGCAGGCTCGCAGGAGAGTAATGTTCAGGACGTCCCTGCTCTGGCGAAGCAGAGCCTCAGTGCCGCAGAGACAAGCGTGCGTGTGACCCGGGCACGCGCCCTGCAGGCTGCGGCGTTGCCAGCACCGTGTTCCGGGGGGGCCAGCTCACCTGCCATCGCCGTGACCAAGTGCGCGGCTGCCCGGAAGTGGCCCGGGAGCCTCAGGACGTCCGACGCGCTGCCCCTCTGGCCTGGCTCTCTCCTCCCCCAGCGAGGCTCTGTCGGTGCGGCTCAGGGCTAGCCTGGGAGCTTGTGCAGAGACTTCACATGGAGTGGGCAGGGGTCTCAGACTGCTGCCTGATGTAGCTCTGGAAGCTCTTGTCTCCAATGGGATGCTCCCTACAGGGTGCACGGACAGGAGCGTGAGAACGGGCTGCCCCGTGCCTGGCATACTTCTGAGCTCTCACTGTCTGCTCCTACCTTGGCTTGTGATGCACAACCCTCGTAACATGCACAGAAAATGCAGACCAGCAAGAGAAGCAATCAGCCTGAAACCACCCAGGGACGTGCCCACCGTGAGCCCAGTCCCAGCGGGTGGGGCTCGTCGCGCAGGCGTGTGCAGACCGTGAGCTCCGGGAGCGGCCACCGCGGTGCCGTGCCCCGTTGGCTACAGATGCTGGCACAGCTGTGAGTTACGGCTGTTTCCAACATGGCAGGTCTGCCACGTTTAGGAAAAGGCAGCATCTTCACACAGCTGGCGTGGGCTCTGACAGGGTGTTAGAGGGTCTGGAAGGTGATGCAAGTGTCTGTGGAGCCAGGAGCAGACACGGTCAGCATCCCTGGAGACGCTGGGCACACTCGCAGCCTGGCCAGAGTCGGGGTCTCTTCCAGAGGCCCCCTTCCCTTCCCAAACCAAACCCATGCATTCCCTGGAAGGAAGGGGAAGCAGGGAGGGGGGCTGGGCCCACGCCAGGTGTGTGCTGGGAGAGCTCTGCATGGGTCTGTGGGCTCCAATGCTTATGGACTCTCATCACCCCACACTCAGAGCAGGAGGACAGTGACCCTTGGCTGAGCCGCCTGCAGCCAGTGGCGCGGAGTGCAGGTGGCCTGACAGTCTGCGTCTCTGCCGTCTGTCCCTTTCAGGACGTGGGGTGGGATCCACGGCCAGCCTGGAGAGAGGCTGAAGGTGGCTCCTGGAGGCAGGGCCGCTGGCCCAAGAAAGCCTAACTTCAGAAGCAGATGGTTCGGGAGGCAGGGGGCCTGGGGGCCTGGGGGCCTGGGGGTGGGGGTAGAAGGCACTGCTCTAGGACACAGTCCAGAGGGACCTGCTCGGAAGGAGGCAGGAGCCTGCCCTGCCCACAGGCAGGTGGCCCGAGGCAGCGGCCCTGGCCCCCGCGCCCCCGCGCCCCTTGCCCCCGCGCCCCCGCGCCCGAGGCAGCGGCCCTGGCCCCCGCGCCGCCCCCGCGCCCCGCCCCCCTTGCCCCCTTGCCCCCGCGCCCCCGCGCCCCCGCACTCACTGGCTTCCGTACTTGGTCTTCTTGAACTTGTCCCTCCGGTGCTGGGCGTGCTCTCGCTCCAGGGCCCCGACCCCGGCGATGACCTGCCTCAGCGTCTTGTAGGTCTGCTGGGGGTCGTCAATGAGGAACGCGGAGTACTCCTCCTGCTCTGGGCCGTCGTACACGGATCTACTTCCGCAGGCCTCTGCAGTGCCAGGGAGGGCCGAGGTCAGCGTGGGGCCCAGACACGCTGCCCCTGGAGCACGTCGGGAAGGACCCACCGCTCGTGCAAAACCGAGGTCAGGGTGGGGCCCAGACACGCTGCCCCTGGAGCACATCAGGAAGGACCCACCGCTCGTGCAAATGCACACAAAACGGAAGCCGCCAAGAGCCAGGCCGCCCCTGGACTGCAGAGACGCCCGTGGGCTGGAAGCGGCCAGGGACCTCAGCCTGGGGGTCCGACGCTGAGTACCAGGCCCCAGACCCTCTCTGGAGTGAGCTGGCTCTGTCCTAGCCTGGGCCAGGCAGGACACTGCACCACCTGCTCAATAGGTAACTTCTCCTAAGACCACCTCACTCTTGCTGAAGACCACACTGTGGCCTCCAGGACCCCATCTGACCCCAGACACCTGAGCTGAGTCCTGCACTCCTGCTGCCTGGCCCAGGTGAACCAGCTTGAGGCCCCTTACCCTGGTCTGGGATGCAGGGTGTCACCACCATCATCATTAACACCATTGATATCACCATCATAAACTTCATCATCAACATCACCCTCATTGTCTCATCTCCTCCATCACCAACATCATCACCCTCATCACCTCATCTCCTCCATTGCCAACATCATCACCCTTATCACCTCATCTCCTCCATCACCAACATCATCACCCTCATCACCTCATCTCATCACCAGCATCATCACCCTCATCACCTCATCTCCTCCATCGCCAACATCATCATCCTCATCACCTCATCTCCTCCATCACCAACATCATCACCCTCATCACCTCATCTCCTCACCACCAGCATCATCACCCTCATCACCTCATCTCCTCCATCGCCAACATCATCACCATCATCACCACCACCATTGACATCACCATCATCACCCTCATCAACATCACCACCATCAATTTCATCATCACCATCACCTTCATTACCATCACATCACCATCACCACCATCACCACCACCATCATCATCATTACTGTCATCACCATTGTCACAGAAAGCTTCACTGCCTTTACTGACTCAGAAGGAATCTCCTAATTCTTACCGAAAAACCACGAGTCTGTGCAAAGGGAAACTGAGATTTAAACTTTCAAGGGAAAAGGGAACACGGTGTGAGGAAGATGACGGTTCCACACGTAAGGGATAAAGAAGCAGAGACCTGGGGGCACCAGGGTCAGGGGGGACACACCGGCTGACGTGTCTGCATCAGCCTGCATCTGTTTCCCGAAGCCCCGCTGTGCTAACTGCTTCGCCTTGAGCAAGTCACTGAAGCGCCGAGCCTCAGTGAGCCCTGCTGGGAGACGGGGCTGCTTAGAGCAGGATGGGAATCACAGAAGGACCACACTGGGGAGGTGGACAGGGGTGGAGACAGGGTGCAGGCAGGGAGACCCCGAGGGTGGGGGGTGGGGGTGGGGACAGGGCGCAGGCAGGGAGACCCAGGCCGCCTTAGGATGGGGCTGCGTGAACTGCTTCACAGGGTGGTTGGTGGGCCTCTTCCTGGAGGAAGAAGTCGGTGCTGCCTGGTGGGCGATGTGCCAGCTTGTCTCGCAGGGGATGCCAATGTGGCTCTGAATTAAGGTCTGTGTGCTGAGCATCGGGGCTCCCTGGGTGGCTCAGCGATAAAGAACCTGCCTGCAATGCAGAAGACTCAGGCTCGACCCCTGGGTCGGGAAGATTCCCTCGAGGAGGGCATGGCAGCCCACTCCAGTATTCTTGCCTAGAGACTCCCACGGACAGAGGGGCCTGGCGGGCTGCAGTCCTCGGGGTCGCCCAGAATCAGACACGATTGAAGTGATGGAGCAGCAGCGGCAGCGCCGTGCACTGTCCCAGGGTGTCAGGGAGCACGGCCAGGGTGACGGGAGCACGCTGGGAGAGGCTGGGAGGAGGGCCCAAGATTAGGCTGGGGGAGCAGGCCTTAATTCTAAGCCCAATGTCAGACACCAGACTTGTGACTGGACCAAAAACAGACCCCGAGCATCTGGAGGCCAGGAAGCTCACCCACTCCTCTTTAACAGGCTCCCAAAAGCGCGCCTGGCAGCACTGGATTACATGCTGATGCCCGCCGGCAGCGGGCATGGTTTTATGAAACAGCTCCAGGAACAAGGAGAAGCACAGGGCAGACACGGACAGGCCAACATGCGGACTTGCTGATGGGCCAGCCACATCCTGAGGACCAGAGGGCGGCGAGGTGGACTCTGCCAGGTGACAAGGGGGGTGAGGTACTCAAAGTCGGGAGGACACCCAGGGGCCAGGTGACACAGGACCCAAAGACCCACAGGCCCAGCCACACATCAGTGTCTGCGCCCCGAGACGGAAGATCAGGCCCACGGGGTCGCAGGGCGGATGGCGGCCCTGGGCCTGCGTGCAGCGCTGCTTTGCGTCTGGAGTCACTCCGAGCCCTCCCCAGGCCCCTATGACCGGGTCTGTGCCCGAGGCACAGCAAGGGCAGCCAGTCACCATCACCAGGACCCTGGCTGCATGGCTCTTGACCAGCAGCCGGGGCCCCATGCCAGCCCCTCAGTAGGGATCCTGCCAGCCCTGCTCTGGGCCCGCCCGCCCGAGGTCCTGGCTGCACCATCACCAAGCTCCCGGGGAGCACTGAGCGGGGTCCGTGCGTGAGGGTGGGGGACGGGAGACAGCGACACAGCCACCTCCAAGCCCCGAGAGGCTGCTTCTCCAGGGGAGCGGCCTTGGTACGACAGGAGCCCACAGGCTGAGTGCTCAGGGCAGTCTGGCGAACACAGACAAGATCCCAAAGGGATGAGAACCTCTGAAGGCAGACTATCAGCCTCAAGAAAGCACTGAGGTTCCAGGCAGAGGCCTGAAGACCGTGGCAAGTGGCTCAGTGCTTCGGTGCCTCCATGAAGTGGGTGACACGGTCCCCAATCCCACTGACATCCTGGGTACCCTGCTTGTCAAGAGCACTGCTGCCCAGGAGGGAGACGAGGTGCTCAAGACCCCTTTCCTCTGCTGGACGTCCATCCACCCGTCCAGCAGACAGGTGCCGAGAGCCTCCTGAGTTCCGGGTGTGGGATGAGTCACACCAGCCTTGCTTCTCAAGGCTCATGTGCATCACAGGTGAAGCACTCTGAGACAACTATCATCGCAAAGACAGAGGCGAGCACAGGCTGTTGGGGGGAGGGGAACCCGCAGGCCACGGGGGTGTGAGACTGTGGGTGCGTCAGGGGCAAGGGCGCAGGGGTCTCAGTGTGGCACTGTGCACAAAGGGAGGTGGGCCTAAGAACAGCGGGAGGAGCTCATGGACAGGCAGCTGTGTGCCTGTCAAAGCAGGGCACACGGACACTTCCAGGCCAAACCAGCGGACAACAAGAGTCTGACAGTCTTGTTTCCAGGCTCCTTTTGGGGGCTTCAGGGCCCACTGCAGACTGTCCGACCCCAGCTCTGAGAAGCGCCAGCCCTGGGGCATGGCTGGGGGATCCGTCCTGCATCTGCCTCTTGTGATGCAGCCCAGCCAAGCCCCTGGGCCTCCTGACTTGTCCCACCTATACTGCTTAGTTCAGTAGGGCAAGAAGAGCAACGAACACCCAGAGAGATGCAGCTGCATCGACATGCCTGGAGATGCTGGGCAGGCACACATGCTCACACACGAGTCCACACTCATGTGCACACACTCACACAGGTCCACACACATGTATACACGCACTCACAACTGTCCATTCACTGTCCATTCATGTACACATGCACTCACAAGTGTCCACACTCATGTACACACACACACACACACACACACACAAGGTTCCACACTCTTGCACACACACACACATATGGGTCCACACACATGCGCATGTCTCTCTGGAAAATGAAACCCTCTGTGGGCATGGGAGTTACTAAGACATAGGATCTTCTCAAGAATTTTGCAGTTCAGAGGCTGCAAGCTAAATCCCATCTTAAAATTACCCACAGAAACTGTTACTAAAGTAACTCTCCAGAACAGCCACCAGCCTGCAGAAGCCTCCTCCACTCCAGCGCTGTCACGCTGGCTCCCCCCAGCCCTGCCTCACCTTGCATCTTCTCGAGTTTGCTCATGTACGAGCTGAAGAGGGAGTAGATACGTTCGGTCTCTCGGTCCCCGTCGATGTCCAGCTGGATGTTTGCTGGGAGGCCGCTGCGCAGACACATGAGAGCGGTGCAGAGGAGGAGGGTCAGTTGTGATGTCGGTTATTTAGCGGCCCCTAAAGATGGAGGACCTGGCCCCTCACTGATCCCTGCTGGGGCTGGGGCACTGACTGGTCACGACCTACCCAGTGCAGGGGGAGCAGCCAGCGGCCGTGTCCGAGGAGGCCCTGCAGCACAGCCAGTGGCCGTTCAGGTAGGCAGATGGGTGGTAGACGGCCAGGCGCTTCTGGTTGCACTGGCTCACCTTGGTGAGGATGTCAATCCAGGCTTTGGCCTCCACGCAGTTGTTGGCCTGGATGTACAGCGCCCGCTCGGGCTGGATGACCTGGAACATCTGAGAGCAAGGAGGGCTCGGGAGCGCGCGGCAGAGCCCCCGGCCTGCACCGCGAGGGCCGCCGCTGGCCGTGCCAACCTGCCTGGGCTGCGTGGGGGCAAGGTGAGGCGGCAAGGCTTGGCTGGCTCAGCCCTGCTCAGCTGGGTCGGGCGCTGCCTTTCCTGGGCCCCAGGTGCACCGCCAGCCTGCCCCCGGGATGGCCGAAGTGGACGTGGCCATTACACAAAAGTGCCAGCTTCCCTGGGCCTCCTTCTTCCTTGAGTGAGACGGACTTTGTGCAAGACATGCCCCAGCAGACCTGTCCAACCTCCCATCTACATCCCAGACCGACTTCAGGACTGGTGCACGTGCTGTTGTCTATCTGAGAGGCGCCCCTCTCAGCCTGCCACGCCAGGGGCCCCTCCTCCGCCCTCCAGGCAGATGCTATGTCCCCCCCTGAGGCTTCTCAGAGCCTCTGTTGCCTTTCCTGTTTATTATTCACTCAACAAACACCCCTGTGTCCAAGGCACTGTCCAAAGTTCTGGGGACTCAGTTGCCCAAACGGAGTTTCTGCTCTTGTGAGCGTCTAGCCAGCCAAATACAAGAGTGAACCCAGAGCACAGGGGCCATGTGAGGGAGGAGGGGTAGCAAGGGTTAGGAGAGAACCTCTAGGTAAATGGTCCTCCAGCTGCGATCGGATGGGCCACCTGGAGTTAACTGAGCTGAGTGGGGACAGTGCACAGCAGGGGCAAAGGCCCTGGGGCAGCCAGGGCTGGGCACTCCCAGCAGACACAGCCAGGCCGCCCACAGAAGAGCAGGGAGGTCGGCAGGCTTGACCCCGGGAGGGCTGTCAGGCTGGACTTGTCAGACGACACAGGGGGCCAAGAGTTAGGGTGTCAAAGTCCAAGGTGGCCTTTGCAAGGTGGGGAGATGTGCTCAGAGAGGAAGGACAGAACAGGATTTGAAGGATTCCCGGAGGAGTTGGGGTTCAGGTTCCTGAGAGAATAGCCAAGGCTCCTCTGGCCGGCCCTTCCCACACAAGCACTGTTGCACAGGCCACAGACTGCACAATCTGTATACAGCTGTATCCCTGACAGAGGCAACAGCCTGGAGGAAGGCACTCTGTTCCAATCCCCTCATGGGCTGGGCCCTCCGATAGGGCCTGCACACCACAGGCCTTCGAAAACGTCTCGCAAATGGAGGAGGATGCTGGCCTGTAGATAGCTCGTGGGAACACCTCTGGGGAGGCAGCAAGAGAAAAGAACTCTGAAATTAGGAATTTCCTCTAATACTTCTCATATTACTCATATTACTATACTTCTAATTATTATCATTTGGGAATCACTCTACACCTGATGGAATGAGCGACTCTGGCTGCTTCAGGGTACGGTTCCACACCGTCCCTCCCTGATCGTTGGGAGTGGGCTGTCCCCAGCCCCATCCTGGGGGCACCTGTCACTGGCCTGGGGGGTGCCGCGATGCTGTGCAGACACACACAGGGCAGGACAAGGGCGCTGACCACCCTCAGGCCCACAGACACCCTCGCACCTGCCACGGGGCCACCTCCCAGCCCAAGACATCAGCTCAGATCGCCCTGGGGGCAGGGAGGAAGCCAAGGTCAGGAGCCAGCGCCGGATGAGGGCAGCTGCCTCTGAGCATCCGCCTAGCCAGCACTAACCCTCTGTGGCCACGGGGCTGGCCTCAGACCAGACAGAGGCCAGGCAGACCCACCCCGTGCAGCTGGAGGCAGCTGTGCAAACCAGACCTCCTGCAGGGGCCCAGTGCGGGGTGCAGATGCGTGGGTGGGAGGACCAGACTTGGCCGGGGTCTCTGAGCTGGGAGAGGGACTGGTGGACACCGGATGCCCGGGCCTGGAGGAGCTGCGGCAGCAGCTTGGGGCAGCAATGGGGAGGCGGGGAGGTGGGTCTAGGGCGCCGCGGTCGGCCCGGGCCGGTCCTGCCCCCACGCGAGGGGGCCAGCTCCCGGCCAGCTCCAGGTCCTCCTCCTCGGGATGGTCATGGGGGAGAGGTCCCGAGACACGAGGGCGCTCAGTGACCTCAGAGGACACGGGATGCAGATGCCCCGAGCCTAGAGGGCACCCCGCTGAGCCCCGAAGGGCACGGGAGGCAACTTGCCTGAGCACCGAAATGAAACCCCTCCTCACCGGAGCGCCCCTCACGCAGAGGGCTCCCGATGACCATCCTCGGTCAGGCCTCCTCGGGGCCCTGCTCAACCGAAACGTGCCGCGAACCATAACCCATGACGGCTCAACACATCAGGGGGACCAACTATGTGGGGGCCCCTGCTGAGCTCCGCCCGCCATCCACTTGGCCTGTGAGCGCCCTGAGGATGACCACTGTCTGGCAGAGGGGAGCGCGAGGTGCCGACCGCCCGGCCAGGTGGTTCCTGCCCGCTCCATCCGCCTGATGGACGGGTGTCCTGGCCGCCACCTTCCTCAGGGAGACCCAGTGGGGCCGTCTCACCTTCCACCCAGCCCTCGGGACACAGAGACAAGCCACAGAGAAGAGAGGCTCAGTCTGGGGCCGCTGAGCAGATGCCCACACTCCCGAGCAGGCTTTGCCCACTGACGGCTGGGCAGCGGGGCCCACGCAGTCCGCCACCCTCCCAGTCACAGTCAGGGTCTCTTAGGGAGACCTGTGAACCGTGTGCAGGATTTCAAGTTTTATCTATCAGTATTTACACCCCATCTGCCTTCAAAAATGACCGCACATGACTTACACAAAATGCATCTAATGAAACTGAAAAAATATAAAAAATATTTTAAAAATTAGAAACAGAATTAGAGAAGAGAAATGACAGCAGACTCAGGATAAACAGGACCTAAATGCACAGATTTTCTGAGGAAAACAGACAACCCAGAAAAGCCCTCGGATCGGGCTCTGGGAAGACAGCTGAGGGAGGTGGGACGCAGGGCCAGGACCCCACGGTGCCCGCACGAGGCTGCAGGGACCTGCCGCCCAGAGACGAGCCCCTCGGAAAGCGGGTCGTCCAGGCGCCCAGTGTGGCCTCTGTGCCCCCCTCGGAGCCTCGCAGGGGGACGGGGGACCAGGGAGGCGCTGCCTCCCCAGCGCGTGGCGCTGCTCACCAGGCAGAAGCCAGGCGCTGTCCCCCACCCCCCGGTCCCCGCAGTGTCAGGGGAGCAAAGGCACCACGGGGGTCCCCAACCTGTTTGCCAGCGTCCGGATGGCCGGCAGAGGTGGGCCTGTGGGAGGTCCGTCAGGATGGACGGCCCCACAGCCTCCGCCCAAAGCTGACTTTGGGAGAAACCCCATGGGTCCTGGCCGACCCGATGGGCAGGGTGGGCTCTCTGCTTCACAGGTCCAGGGGCAGACCAGGCCCTGGGGAGGGGCGGGGTGGGTGCGGGACTCACATTCTTCATCTTGAAGGACTCCTCCTCCAGCGGCTCCACGGCCAGGATGTTCTCGATGGGGATACTGTAGAGAGGCAGGTCCCCTGCGGCAGAGCAGGCCATGAGCGCCAGGAGGGGCCGGTACCCTCTGCAGGCTCCCACGGCCTCGAGTCCCCTGGGGATGCCCACCATCCAGACCAGGCCACCCATACGGGACAAGGGTGTCCACCCCGAGACCCTGACCCCCACGCTCAGCTGCAGAGGGCCGACGGCTCTCCACGCCACCCAGGCCACCCTCTCGGAGCCCCCACCTCCCGTGCAAGGAAGTGCTCACCCCAGAAGCAACCTGGAGCCCCACGGCGCCCAAGGTGAGGCTCTGATCCCTTGGAATAAAATATGTGAAAACAAGTAAAAAGTGACCTTGTCTTGTTACCTTTGCTTTTCTGGTAGGTAAATTCATGGTTTGTCAGGCGGAACCATCTTTTCTTAAAATTCTTCATCCCAAATCGTTTTCTCCCTTGTGCCCTCTTAATCATGAACCTGCCGTGAACAGGACAGTTTGGTGGGTGAGTGGCCGAGGGCTGGGGCCAGGGCACCTGCCTACCCGCCCCCACAGGCCAAAGTCACAAAATCAGAATAGCTCGCCACTTCCACTCCTGTGACATTTGATGCGGATTATGGGGTTTCAGTATCTTATTTCCAAGGGACAGGATTTAAGAATCAAAAGATGAAGGCCTCTACTTTTGATAAGTTTAGCCCCCGGGCTGGTGTCAACTGTCAACCTCAGGTTGCAAGTTGCTGACAACCCTGGTCTACCAGAGCTCCAATAAGGAGCCCCACCTCCTGCCCTCAAAACATGGACTGAAGGTGCACCCAGAGCCACTGCGGCAGTAGGTCCCGGCCCTGCAAGCATGTACTGGAGGCAGAGACAGTAGGAAGCCAGTGGCTCTGGGCTGTGTCCTGTGCTCTGGGCCCCGGTGTGGATGCTCCTGCATGGGGGGCTGATGGAGGGCAGGGGCCCTCACTCTGCTGAGGGAGCCACCAGGCAGAAGCCTCTGGCTACTTGGGGGCCGTTCAGTCTCCCCCAAGCCCCACCCTGCAGACGGGTGTTTCTCCCCTCGCAGCCTCAGCAGAGAACAAGCACAGCGGTGCAGCTCTGAGGCGTCTCAGAGCCACAGACCAAGGCCCCAGGCAGCTCTGGACGCCCCTGGCCCCACGGGCAGGCCCCCTGGCCCCGAGCCTCCTTCCTGCCACCTCACCCTTCCTTAAGCAGGATGGGCTGCTGCACGCTCTTGGGGTCTCTTCTCCCGGAGGATGAGATCAAATCCAGGAACTGAAGTGGGATGGAAAGCAGACAGTTATGGGGAAAGTGCAAGAACTGCCTGGGCACCCTACGTCTCCTGCAGGCAGAGGAGAGGCGGGTCTGAGCGCAGGTGCAGGCAGAGCCCCTCAAGGAACCACAGAGGCTGAGCCCCACCTGATCCTGCCCCTCCCGGGAAGGTCTCACCGCACCCAGAGCTGCTCCTGCTCCTGAGAGCCGCCAGGCCCCAGGTGACTCGTGGAGGTTCACCCTCCCCTTTCCCGGAGCTCGAAGCCACCCCGGCTCCCTCCCAGCTCCCCACCTCCAGGTTTGGCCCCTCGTGGCCTCCCTGCTCCGCTCAGCCTCCCACCAGTCACCCACCTCCGCCTCTGGGAGTCTGTGTAACTGATGCTGAGACTTACGTTTTTCACCGCGTCAGCGTACTTCTGCTCATTGAAGAATTCGTAGAATGCAGCCATGTAGGACTCCTTAAAACTGGCCTAAAACAGAAAAAGTCACTTAAACGAAGCCTGAGGTCGCTTGGCCCAAACCTGAAAGACCTGGAGTGTGGACGCAACAAGCCTCAGCTCGGGGCTGAGAACAAGAGGCCGGCATCTCTTTCCAGCAGCGCGGGGTGCAGGCACCGCCCTGCTGCAGTGGCCTGCCGCACGCCGCAGGAGGGGCTCCACTCAAGCTGTGCTTAAAATGCCAACTGCACAGGGTCCTGGTCCCAGGTGAGACCTGTCGCGCACGATTCAGCACCTTCGCGGGCATGTGGCTCCCAGATGCGTGGCTGGGATGGGGGGGTCCTCACTTTCAGGAGTCAGGTCAACGGCAGGAGGAACCTGGGGGTCTCTGTCCACATGAGTCACTTTATTACAAGGAGATCTGTGTGGACCTCAGCCCGGCAGGGGCCCACTCACTGCTTCAGCTGACGGACAGACGGAGCATGGGGCTTGGGCCTGCTTCTGTGTGTGTCACTTAGGTTCTGAGAAAGCTGAGCATTTGGCCTGCAGGGGCTGCTGTCGGCAGGGCTGGGGGCTGGGGTCACGCGGGGCTGTGGACACAGGAGAAGGGCAGGGGCGGGGGCCCCTGGGGGTCGCGGCTCTACCTTTTCCCGACAAAGCCTGATGGGCCCACCTCTGAGGAGCAGGCCACGTCACAGCCTGTGCCTGGAGGACCCAGCACCCGCACTGTGGCCCTCATGTGTGGACCTCAGGGCCCCGCAGTCAGTCTCAAGGAGCCCCCGTGAAGGGGAGACAAGTGAGCTTGGGGGTGGGGAAGGAGCGGCGGCTCCTGGCTGTGTGTGGAGAAGGCTTTGGTCACTGGGTTGCGCCTCAACTTCCTTAAAGTGCTCAGGCTGAGAATGCTCAGCTGAGCAGTGGGGCTGGGTAGTGTCTGCCACCAAGAGCGCACGTCTGCGGATCCTCATACAGCAGTGGAAGTGCCAGCCACTTACAGGGGACAGTTACCATGCACCGGTGACACCACAGTCCACAGGGGACGGTCACCACCTACGGGGACAGTCACCACGTACAGGTGATGTCACCATCCATGAGGGCTGTCACCACCTACAGGGACAGGTCGCCATGCACAGGTGACATCACGGCCCACGGGGGACAGTCACCACCTGCAGGGACAGTCGCCATGTACAGGTGATGTCACCACCTACAGGGACAGTCGCCATGCACAGGTGATGTCACCACCCATGGGGGATGTCACCACCTACAGGGACAGTCGCCATGTACAGGTGACATCACAGCCCACGGGGGACAGTCACCACCTGAAGGGACAGTCACCATGTACAGGTGATGTCACCACCTACAGGGACAGTCGCCATGCATAGGTGATGTCACCACCCATGGGGGACGTCACCACCTGCAGGGACAGTCGCCATGTACAGGTGACATCACAGCCCATGGGGGACAGTCACCACCTGCAGGGACAGTCGCCATGTACAGGTGACATCACGGCCCATGGGGGACAGTCACCACCTGAAGGGACAGTCGCCATGCACAGGTGATGTCACCACCCAAGGGGGACGTCACCACCTACAGGGACAGTCGCCATGTACAGGTGACATCACTGCCCAACGGGACGGTCACTGTGCACAGGTGATGTCACCACCCATGGGGGACGTCACCACCTGCAGGGACAGTCGCCATGCACAGGTGACATCACTGCCCAACGGGACGGTCACCGTGTATAGGTGACATGACATCACCGCCCACGGGCGACATCACACCTTCAGGGGATGCCACCACCACCTGCTGTTACTCTGTTCCTCCCAAAGGGCGCTCTTACAGCCTCATATGGGGAGGCCAGGTGGTGACTCTCCTCATCCTATTATTCCACATCCTCCTTTGTATTGAAAAGAGAATTAAAGTCAGTGACTCACAGACTTGGACTTGGACAGACTGCCTAGAGTCTGAATGGTCTTCGAAACAAGTGTCAGCGTCCTCGATGTCTGTGGGTCCTGCCAGAGACGAGAAGGTGGCGGTCTCTCAGATGAGTTGTGACTGAGCCCAGGACTGCCACCGATAAAAGGAAGCACACCCCTAAAAGCGGTCCCGTCGTGCCTGTCATCTGTGAGGGAGCAGCTAAACACAAGCCTGCTGGATTCACAGGTCCCTGCAGACCCTCCACCTGCACGGCTGGGAACTGCTGAAAAGGCGGGCCCTCGGGCCACTCACGCCCAGCGCTGCTAGCCAAGGGGCAGGTCTCTGGCCACATCTCCCAGGACCTGCCCAGGGACCCCTCGCCCTCCACACCGCTCACAGGCTGAACTCGAACCCAGGAATGGGCCATCATCCTGGGCTTTCCACCAAGCACTGGGGCCACCTGGCACATTGTGCATGAGGGTGTGGGCCTCGCTCACAGTCATGGCGGGAGTTCACATGCTCACCAAAAGTCCATGCTGACCACCTGGCCTGAATATGACTAAATATACCCAAGGTGAGGGACACTCTGTCTTCCCATGGTGGGTGGGGAGGCGGCAGCCCTCAGCTGAAGCTCTGGTCACACCATCCGACAGTTTTAATGACATGACTTAGATCAGAATGTCTCAGCACCTCCCCGAGATAAGGACTTGAGGGCCTGTGGCTCATCCATAACTCAATCACCACGTGGAGCTGTCTCTGTACCTTCCCCCACTTGGCTAGCAGCACCTTCCCTAACCCCTGCGGGTCCAGGGGGCTGGACGGGTCAGGAGCACCGGATGGATCAGGAGGGCTGGGCGGGTCAGGGCGGCTGGGCGGGTCTGGTTGACTAGTCCCTGTGAGCTGTGCCTGAGGCTCACTCACCGTGTGGTGGGGTGTGAGCTGGAAGAGGTTGGGGGACAGGATGGCTGGAGCGAAGAACCGCAGGAAAATGAAGCTGCTCACAGCTGTGTACCGTACATCCAGGTCATCTGTGGTGGAGACAGACAGACAGACTTGCCTGGGCTTCTGGAGCCACAGGGAGAAACCAGGGCCGGGAAGAAAACGGGAGCCACGGGGACAAAGCTCGGTTCCCTGGGCCGGGCTGGGGTCTGACTCCCCCAGGGGCGGATATAGACAGGGGAGAGTAGACAGCGGGGGGAGAGCTGGGGGTGCAAACAGGGGGCCCTCCATGCTGGTGCCTGACCCCTCCCAGCAGCAACGGCGGAGCCCTAACCCTGATGGGGCCTGTCAGTCCTCTGTGGCCTGGAGGCCTCTCCGTGAGGGGCCCACAAGCACTCACCCTGGAAGCGCTTGGCGGCCGCCTCCCGCAAGGAGAAGAAGATGTCACACATGACGGTGGGGCAGCTCACCCCCGATTTGGTGATGACGCTGAACACACGGTCCACGAACTGCCGCAGGTTCTCCTGCAAAGGCGCAGGGCAGTGCCGGCTGCACCCAGCCATCCCGGGGCTGCAGAGCTGGCTGCTCAGAGCCCCACGGCCCCCGGGGCCCTCAGGCAAGACTTTCCGCCACGGGTCAGGACCAGCGCGCTGTGGAGTCCAGACCCTGCCTCCAACCAGGGAGGGCGGAGGGGCACCCTGCCAACCAAGGGCCCGTAGATGGCCACGGGATGTGACCTCCAAAGGCCAGGACCCCTCTGGGCTCTTTAGAGGCACAGACAGCGTGACCCGCGGGCCGGGCCTGGAGCAGGGTGGCGGCTGGTGCCTGAGTGGCCCCCACAGCGCTGCAGGTCAGGAGCCCTGGCCCCACAGCCCCGCCCATCCCAAGCGTGCGGCAGGGCACGCGGGCCTCACCATGTTGCTCTCCAGGCTCTCACCGTCCTTCAGCCTCACGGGGTCGATCTCACAGGACTTGTGACTCTGGCAAATCTACAAAGAGCGTTTGGGACAAGCCACACATGAGCTGATCTGGGGCCCAGGCGGGCGGAGGTCCCAGAGGGCCTGGCCCGACCACGGAGCGCCGGCTCACGGGGGTGAGTCCCCACGGCTCACTCAGAGGTCACCCCAAGGCACCCTCAGGGCTCGGTACACGGAGCAAACCGGAATCTAGTCTCAGTCCTCGCGACTGCAAAGGACCCGCTTCCTGTGACAGGGTTCTGAGGAAACGCCCCTCCAGGAAAGGGGGCCCGGAGGAGCGGCCTCTAGGACTGGGGAAGGAGGCGTCCTCCCGTGGATCCTCCTGTCTGAGCGAAATGATGGGACTTTCTGAAGTACTTTTCTAATTTGAGAAAATGAGGGAGGCTCTGGGATGCTCAAACCCCGCTTGGGAGGCAGGGGAGGCTGGCGTGGTGGTGACAGCTCTGGGCTCCGGGGGCGCCCGGCCTCCCCTCCTGCGGGCCCTCACCTCCTCTATGGTGGGTTTCAGGGTGACGTGTAGGTACTGCATGCCCGCCAGCTTCATCGTCTCATCGATGCACTTGGATGTCAGCGAGTTTCCTCGGAAGATGGTGTTGGGGTCCCTAGAAAACGGCACGGATAGGGAGGCGTCCAGGGAGTGGGGGGCTGCCCTGACCAACGAACACCTTGCAGCAGCCAGGGGTCCAGGCCTGCCTGCTGCGTAACTAACCCCCCACCACTACGGCCACCAGGGCCCTGCACTTCGAGAGCCGCATCTGGTCTTTAGGGACACAGGACAGCACCAGGGGCAGAGGGTGGCCTTGCCACAACGCCACAGACACGTGTGGGACTTTCTGAGCCGTTGGTCCCAGCAGAGCCTGCCCCCTAGAACAGCTGCAGGCCCTGGGGAGCAGGGACCCCTGACCCGGGCTTCTTGCTCACCCTGCAGTCCCGACTCGGAACTGAGCTGCCCCCAGGCACCCGGCTCCCCGCTCACCCGCCCCCCAACTCGTTTCCAGGAGAAGAAGCAAAGTTTTAGAAGAGCCAGCGTGTTGAAGTCCGCGTGGCTGCCTGCAGCTGCCTGGGCCCCGCCCAGCCCCGCATCAGGCCGGGACCCCAGAGGGCCTCGGGCCCGGCTGGCACTCACTGGGTCCTGCGGACCTCGGCGCTGGCGATGGCACTGATGAACGGCACCACCCGGCCGTAGTGCAGGAAGAGCCGCACCAGCGGGATGGCCGCCTCCTGCTTCTCCCTGCAGACCTCGCCCAGGATGTGAGCCGCCGATGCGGAGACAGGCTGGGGCAGGGTGTGGGAAGTGAGCCCCCGCCTGCCTGGCTGCTCCTGGTGCCCCATCCACCACCCACATGCAGTACCAGCCACTGTGCAGAGGGCCCACCCGCGACCCTGGGGCCACAGTCAGACACCCCGCACGTCCTGGGCCTGCTGGGTTCCCGTGGCCGTCCTGTGGGGTGTGGGGGTTCCCGTGGCTGTCCTGTGGGGTATGGGGGTTCCCGTGGCTGTCCTGTGGGGTGTGGGGGTTCCCGTGACCCTCCTGTAGGCTGTGGGGGTTCCCATGACTCCTGTGGGGTGTGGGCATTCCCATGACTGTCCTGTGGGCTGTGGGGTTCCCGTGACCCTCCTGTGGGGTGTGGGGGTTCCCGTGGCTGTCCTGTGGGGTGTGGGCATTCCCGTGACTGTCCTGTGGGGTGTGGGGGTTCCCGTGGCTCTCCTGTGGGGGTTCCCGTGACCCTCCTGTGGGGTGTGGGGGTTCCCGTGGCTGTCCTGTGGGGTGTGGGGGTTCCCGTGGCTGTCCTGTGGCGTGTGGGCATTCCCGTGGCTGTCCTGTGGGGTGTGGGGGTTCCCGTGGCTGTCCTGTGGGGTATGGGGGTTCCCGTGGCTGTCCTGTGGGGTGTGGGGGTTCCCGTGACCCTCCTGTAGGCTGTGGGGGTTCCCATGACTCCTGTGGGGTGTGGGCATTCCCGTGACTGTCCTGTGGGCTGTGGGGTTCCCGTGACCCTCCTGTGGGGTGTGGGGGTTCCCGTGGCTGTCCTGTGGGGTGTGGGCATTCCCGTGACTGTCCTGTGGGGTGTGGGGGTTCCCGTGGCTCTCCTGTGGGGGTTCCCGTGACCCTCCTGTGGGGTGTGGGGGTTCCCGTGGCTGTCCTGTGGGGTGTGGGGGCTCCCGTGACCCTCCTGTAGGCTGTGGGGGTTCCCATTACTCCTGTGGGGTGTGGGCATTCCCGTGACTGTCCTGTGGGGTGTGGGGGTTCCCGTGGCTCTCCTGTGGGGGTTCCCGTGACTGTCCTGTGGGGTGTGGGGGTTCCCGTGGCTCTCCTGTGGGGTGTGGGCATTCCCGTGGCTGTCCTGTGGGGTGTGGGCATTCCCGTGACTGTCCTGTGGGGTGTGGGGGTTCCCGTGGCTGTCCTGTAGGCTGTGGGGGTTCCCATGACTCCTGTGGGGTGTGGGCATTCCCGTGGCTGTCCTGTGGGGTGTGGGCATTCCCGTGGCTGTCCTGTGGGGTGTGGGCATTCCCGTGGCTGTCCTGTAGGCTGTGGGGGTTCCCGTGACCCTCCTGTGGGCTGTGGGGGTTCCCGTGGCTGTCCTGTGGGGTGTGGGGGTTCCTGTGACTGTCCTGTGGGGTGTGGGGGTTCCCGTGGCTGTCCTGTGGGGTGTGGGGGATCCCGTGACCCTCCTGTGGGGTGTGGGGGTTCCCGTGGCTGTCCTGTGGGCTGTGGGGGTTCCCGTGGCTCTCCTGTGGGGGTTCCCATGACTCCTGTAGGCTGTGGGGGTTCCCGTGGCTGTCCTGTGGGGGTTCCCGTGACTGTCCTGTGGGGTGTGGGGGTTCCCGTGACCCTCCTGTGGGGTGTGGGGGTTCCCGTGGCTGTCCTGTGGGGTGTGGGGGTTCCCGTGACCCTCCTGTGGGGTGTGGGGGTTCCCATGGATGTCCTGTGGGGTTTGGGGGTTCCCGTGGCTCTCCTGTAGGCTGTGGGGGTTCCCATGACTCCTGTGGGGTGTGGGCATTCCCGTGGCTGTCCTGTGGGGTGTGGGGGTTCCCGTGGCTCTCCTGTAGGCTGTGGGGGTTCCCATGACTCCTGTGGGCTGTGGGGGTTCCCGTGGCTGTCCTGTGGGGTGTGGGCATTCCCGTGGCTGTCCTGTGGGCTGTGGGGGTTCCCGTGGCTCTCCTGTGGGGGTTCCCATGACTCCTGTAGGCTGTGGGGGTTCCCGTGGCTGTCCTGTGGGGGTTCCCGTGACTGTCCTGTGGGGTGTGGGGGTTCCCGTGACCCTCCTGTGGGGTGTGGGGGTTCCCGTGGCTGTCCTGTGGGGTGTGGGCATTCCCGTGGCTGTCCTGTGGGGTGTGGGGGTTCCCGTGACTGTCCTGTGGGGTGTGGGGGTTCCCGTGGCTGTCCTGTGGGGTGTGGGGGCTCCCGTGACCCTCCTGTGGGGTGTGGGGGTTCCCGTGACTGTCCTGTAGGCTGTGGGGGTTCCCATGACTCCTGTGGGGTGTGGGCATTCCCGTGGCTGTCCTGTGGGGTTTGGGGGTTCCCGTGACTGTCCTGTGGGGTGTGGGGGTTCCCGTGGCTGTCCTGTGGGGTGTGGGCATTCCCGTGGCTGTCCTGTAGGCTGTGGGGGTTCCCATGACTCCTGTGGGGTGTGGGCATTCCCGTGACTGTCCTGTGGGGTGTGGGGGTTCTCGTGGCTGTCCTGTGGCGTGTGGGCATTCCCGTGGCTGTCCTGTGGGGTGTGGGCATTCCCGTGGCTGTCCTGTAGGCTGTGGGGGTTCCCATGACTCCTGTGGGGTGTGGGGGTTCCCGTGACTGTCCTGTGGGGTGTGGGGGTTCCCGTGGCTGTCCTGTGGGGTGTGGGGGTTCCCGTGGCTGTCCTGTGGGGTGTGGGGGCTCCCGTGACTGTCCTGTGGGGTGTGGGGGTTCCCGTGGCTGTCCTGTGGGGTGTGGGGGTTCCCGTGACCCTCCTGTGGGGTGTGGGGGTTCCCGTGACTGTCCTGTAGGCTGTGGGGGTTCCCATGACTCCTGTGGGGTGTGGGCATTCCCGTGGCTGTCCTGTGGGGTGTGGGGGTTCCCGTGACCCTCCTGTGGGGTGTGGGGGTTCCCGTGACTGTCCTGTAGGCTGTGGGGGTTCCCATGACTCCTGTGGGGTGTGGGCATTCCCGTGGCTGTCCTGTGGGGTGTGGGGGTTCCCGTGACTGTCCTGTGGGGTGTGGGGGTTCCCGTGGCTGTCCTGTGGGGTGTGGGGGTTCCCGTGACCCTCCTGTGGGGTGTGGGGGTTCCCGTGACTGTCCTGTAGGCTGTGGGGGTTCCCATGACTCCTGTGGGGTGTGGGCATTCCCGTGGCTGTCCTGTGGGGTGTGGGGGTTCCCGTGACTGTCCTGTGGGGTGTGGGGGTTCCCGTGACTGTCCTGTAGGCTGTGGGGGTTCCCATGACTCCTGTGGGGTGTGGGCATTCCCGTGGCTGTCCTGTGGGGTGTGGGGGCTCCCGTGACCCTCCTGTGGGGTGTGGGGGTTCCCGTGACTGTCCTGTAGGCTGTGGGGGTTCCCATGACTCCTGTGGGGTGTGGGCATTCCCGTGACTGTCCTGTGGGCTGTGGGGTTCCCGTGGCTGTCCTGTGGGGTGTGGGGGCTCCCGTGACCCTCCTGTGGGGTGTGGGGGTTCCCGTGACTGTCCTGTAGGCTGTGGGGGTTCCCATGACTCCTGTGGGGTGTGGGCATTCCCATGGCTGTTCTGTGGGGTGTGGGGGCTCCCGTGGCTGTCCTGTGGGGGTGGGCATTCCCGTGGCTCTCCTGTGGGGTGTGGGGGTTCCCATGGATGTCCTGTGGGGTTTGGGGGTTCGCGTGACCCTCCTGTAGGCTGTGAGGGTTCCCATGACTCCTGTGGGGTGTGGGGGTTCCCGTGGCTGTCCTGTGGGGTGTGGGGGTTCCCGTGGCTGTCCTGTGGGGTGTGGCGGCTCCCGTGACCCTCCTGTGGGGTGTGGGGGTTCCCGTGACTGTCCTGTGGGGTGTGGGGGCTCCCGTGACCCTCCTGTGGGGTGTGGGGGTTCCCGTGACTGTCCTGTGGGGTGTGGGGGCTCCCGTGACCCTCCTGTGGGGTGTGGGGGTTCCCGTGACTGTCCTGTGGGGTGTGGGGGCTCCCGTGACCCTCCTGTGGGGTGTGGGGGTTCCCATGACTCCTGTGGGGTGTGGGCATTCCCGTGGCTGTCCTGCGGGCTGTGGGGGTTCCCGTGGCTGTCCTGCGGGCTGTGGGGGTTCCCGTGGCTGTCCTGTGGGGTGTGGGGGCTCCCGTGACCCTCCTGTGGGGTGTGGGGGTTCCCATGGCTGTCCTGTGGGGTTTTGGGGTTCCCGTGGCTCTCATGTAGGGCTGTGGGGTCCCCACCCCCAGTAAAGGGAGACACAGACAGTCCTGGGCACTAGGCAGGCTGGGAGGTCCGGGCTGAGGGCCGGGGTGGGGGCAGGCTGCCAGGTGCCGGGTGGAGGCGGGCAGGGCCATGGGGGCCACGCAGGTACCTCCACATCCGCAGACCTCAGCAGCAGGTCCCGCAGCGGGCTGTAGTAGTCGGAGGAGAAAACGTGGTCTTCCGTGTAGACCACATTCAAGCGCAGGGAGCCCAGATCCCCTGGCTTCAAGCTCTTGCTGCCATTGTCCCGAGGCTGAAGGAAGTACCTGGTGCGGGGCACATGGACGGGCGGCGTGAGGCCGCCGCTCCCCAGGCACCCTGCTGCAGTGGACCTCCTGACATGGGCGGGGTCAGCATCTGAGGCGAGGGGGCTCGCGGACACTGCAGGATCCACGCCCCAGGGGCCGCCCGACCCCTCCCACAGAGTCCCTGCACCTGGGGCGGCCCCCACCCGATCCCCCTAAAGGGTCTGTATGGGGGGTGGCCCCCACGGTCGCTCACTTTGGGCTGATCACAGAGCCACAGACTCGGAAGCGGGGGTGTGGGGTGGGAGGAACAGACAGGGCCGTGAGCAGTGCAGGAGACTCTGCAGGAAAACCATTTGCCCTGGAGAATGACCCCTGAGAACGGCCATCCCTGAGCAGCACCGGGTCGAAAGACCCTCAGAAATGGGCACTAGCGGGGAGGGAGGGCTTGTACTGTGGGCTGGGTGGCCCCAGGCCCAGGGCACCCAGCGGTGCTCCTGACAGATACCCTTGCCCTCCCAGCCCACCCAGGGCCTTGCAGCACCCAGCTGCCCTGAGCTCCCATGCCAGGCAGCCTGAGGTACGAGCAACTGAGACAATGATCGTCGGCTGGCCTCCCGTCCAGCCCCATCCCAAGGCCAGGTTGTTGGTCAAGCAGGGCTGCCTGGGAACTGAAATAGGAATTCCAGTTCCCTGGGGCGGACGCTCCCTGGGGCACAGCACCAACATCTGCCCACGTGCTGGCAGGTGAGTAGGCTCTGGGGTGAGGCGTGAGGCGAGTGATCTACGCCTGCCCCCACCCCAGTGCTGGGCCGGGGCGGGGAAGTCACTGTCGGGGCTCAGCCTGCGAGCCTGGGGTCTGCTCCCTCCCTGTGACATGGTGACGCGACCCATGGGCCCAGGAGCCTGGAGTCGAGGCGGGAGGCAGGGGGCGGGGTCCTGGCCTCAGGACACCTGGGGGCCCGCCTGCTGGCACCCAGGGCCACGAGCACAGACGCTGCTGGACCCCGGGGACCTCACCAGGCTTCGTGGGGGCTGGACTGCCGCAGCACCTTCAGCGGGACCCTCAGCTCCCCGAGGAACTCATCCCCGAACTTCAGGTTGCTGGCGTTCCACAGGTCCACCCTGGAAGGCAGAAGGCATGAGGCCTCTGACCAGGCAGCCAGGCAACGGGGACCCCGAAGCCCAGAGTTGGAGCAGGACAGGCCTGCAGGCCACTCTGAGCACAGCTGAAGCCTGAGGTCCAAGCTGCTCGGGCCCTTGGCGGGAGAGCTGCTTACCCAGAGCCCCACCCCACGGGCCTTGCAGGGCAGACCCCAGCCTGTCCCCAACTGAGTGTCAGAACCTCGGGCTTCAAGGGAAATCCTGACCCACAGGAGAGCAGACTTACATGGTGTCACATCTGGAGAAGCCCTATGGTTCTCACGAGCATGGTGGTCAGACCCACTGTGGCCACCCCAGACTCAGGCTTATGACCTGTCCCCAGACACGGGGGTGGTGCGGCAGCCAGGGGGGCAAGAGGGCTGGTGAGGCCCAGAGGGATGCTGGGCTGTGCACTAGAGGCCCCACCGCGGGGCCCCAGGCAGCAGGACCGTGTGCCGGGCCAGGCCTCACACAGAGGGGCTCGGAACCTCTGCTCTGCGCCTGGGAAGACACCGCAAGGTGAACACAGACCATGTGGCCTCTAGCCACCACCTGGCACCCTCGTGTTAAAATGATCCAGAAAACTGATGTTCCTGTCTATGGATGAGAGAGTTAAATCTCAGGTAGGTTGATAAGGCGTCCAGGGCCTTCTAGGAGGAGAAAGGGACAAACATTTTTTCTACATTGCTTTATCTTAGTCACATAAGACATTTTATCTTATACTCTGAGTTGTTATAACAACAGTCTTTAAGACTAACTTTCTTTAAGCCTAGAGCTAATGATTACACAACAATACAACAAAACAATTCATCTTGCTCCAGGGTATGTTTTCCCTAAAGCTCTGTACTAATGATTGTATAACAATATCTTGCTCAAGGACACGTTTTTTCCTCTTAACAGGAACCTTCTGACCAACCTTGCTATCTTAAGAGTACGTTGTGGGAGTGGGTCTGGCAAAAGTACATAAAGCCTTGATCAGACTAGTGAGGGGGGCACTCCCCATTCCCCTTCTGATGTCTGTGTCAGAGGCTTTCTCTCTCCTTTTTCACTGTAATAAAACTTCTGCCACACAAGTGGCAGAGTGATCAAGCCTGGCCCCTGGCCCCGAAGCTAAATCTTTGGAGGTTGAGATCCAACATGGTTCACCATAAGCTTTCACAGATGTTGCCCAGTTTCTATAGACAGAACAGGGCACCAGCAGGAGAAAGCAGCCCAGGCACCCCGCCTGGGAAACTCAGCCCCGGACCCCCACTCACCGGATCTCCAGCTTGTCCACGTCCTCATCCTCAAAGTCAAAGTGGGACTTGCGGCTGTAGCTGCAGGGCCTGGTCACCTGTGGGGACGAGAGCACGTCAGGCCTCCCTGCCCCTGGCGCCTGCTCACCCCTGCACACGCACCCCGTGAGGGAGGGCTGGCCACCTTCTCCTGGCTACAACAGGCGCATCCCAGGATGGCACTGGTTCTTCATCCAGGCTTTCAGGCTGTGCCCCTAGCCCCCCACAGGCGCCCAATGAGGCCAACATTGCCCATCCTCTTGAGGGCCCAGGCGGAAGAGGCCAGTGACCCCTGCACATCCTGACCCACCCCTCCAAGTTCATTTGCAAAGTCCCCTTCCACCTTTCCACCCTAGCGTCTCCAGTTTCCTACAGCTCCAGTGCTCCATGCACTTTCCAAGCCCCACTCCGGAAGCCCTGCCCACTGCCCCTTGGACGGTGGTGCATCCACTCTGCTCCAAGAGCCCCGATGCCATATCGCCACATGAGGGCACGGCTGCTCCATCCTCCCCGCGCTGGGCAGCGAACCACGGAGATGGCAGTGAGACCCTCACACTCACCTATGGTGACCTTTGTGGGGGGACAATGGCCCCTTGAGCGTTACTGGGGCTGGCACCTCTGAGCCAATGGTTGGCAGTTCTGTGCCAGCCTGGCCCTCACCCACCAGCCAACTGGTGGTTCTGGTTCTAAGGGGCAGTTGGGGGCTCTCGTTTGAATGCACTACTTCCACCCCCAAAACCCTCACTACTTGTGTTGAAACAAGCTTCTCTCTGCTGCTCAAGGGAGACTGGGTGGAGCAAAAAAACCCAAACAAAGCCAGCCAAAAAACCCCAAAGTCTTGGTAATTTGGAAAGTATTGATCTGTCAGCATTCAACACAAAACAAGGTCAAGCTGGAAGCAGCAAACAGCCTTTCTGCCCAGGGAAGGAAGGAGCTCCTGGGAGTTCACACTGCAGGGTGGGAGGGACTCCAGGTGAGGGACAGCAGCCCAGAACTCTCTGCAGCAGTGACCGAGGGCCCTTTTGCCAAAGACCCTGGGGTGTGGGTATCGATTGTGTTTGTGCCACTGAAACACTGACCTCAAAGTAAAACACTTCATCAAACTGCGGGTTGTTGGTCTTCTTCTTCACCTTCGTCTTCTTCGCTTCTGACCTGCGTTTGAGGAGAAGGATCGGATGGAAAACACTGTTGATGCTGATTCCACCAAGGCTGGGCCCTCCAGGGCACAGACCACATGCGGTTGTGTCTCCAGCACCTGATGGTATGCAAATCAGGACCCTTTACTGAGCCAGAGACACCCACGTGAAGAACAGGAAGGCTTTCTTCTTACAAACTTCAGGCCATGAAGGAAACTGAAGGAAGTGAGACCTACACAGCCTGCCTGGCCCACCTGCTTTCTGAGGAAAGCCCCGCCTCAGCGACCTCGCCCACTCTGCAGCCAAGGCAGTACTTGCCTGCACGGTCCTGCCAGGGTCACTGTGGCGTAGGGGTCACACTGCCCGTTCACGATGGGGAGGCCCTGGCACTCGAGGATGCTGAGGAGAGAAGTGGGGGTCAGGAGGGCACCTGAGGCCCAGGGCCTATCTCTCACAGTCGCCCTGAGGTCTGAGAGGGCGGATGTCTCAATAGCTCAGGCCAAGAACCACAAGTCCCTACAAAGCGCTTCCTGGGCTTCCATCTAGTGAACAGAGATGGACACCCTGGTCAGCGGGCAGCAAACACCTGGGGGCAAGAGGAAGTGTGTGTGCACCCACGGGAAGGACAGACACGCTTCCAGTGTTGGCTGGAAACACGGCACAGCGTAAGGGCTGAGGGTCGTGTTTACGTGGGACTTTCTGAGGACCTGACCCAGGAGGCAGCCTCTCACATGGCTCTGAACAGGTGAGAGGCGCCGGGGTACAAAGGAGTTCCTGCAACAAAGACCAGTGGTCGGAACGTCAAAAGGTCACTGTTAATTAAACCCAGACACCTTGGGTTAAGGAGTTTAGTGCTTTTCCACACATGGGAAGATACGGGCGGGAGTCTGGGCTCACTGAGATCATCCCTCCGATGGGCACCTCGGCTCCCTGAGGCCAGAGTCTTGGACTGTCCACCCTGAGACCCTTTGGGTGGGGGCACTGCCGGGGGCGGCTGCAGTGGCTGCTGGCTTGGAGGTGCAAGGCCCTCCGTTTACGATACGGGACGTGGCGTCCTTAGTCCACAGCGCCGAGTTCCCTGAGTGAGGCCCCTGCCTTCCGTCCCCAGGAGCTCGAGAGTCTATGCAGCCCTGGCAGGCAGGAAGCGGGACTCGGTCTGTGCTCTCGGGGGCCTGAGGGCCCAGCGCTGCAGGGGCTCCCAGTCCTGGCCCGTGTGCTGCCTCCAGCGTGCTCCTCGGGCAGGGAAGCCCCATCTCAGGCTGTGCTCCATCAACTGCCCTGGCTCCTGGCTCCCTGTGGGTCTGGATCGTGGGCACGCCAGCTCTTGGACCGCCCTTGTCCATCACCTGTCGCCCGGCTCTGCTGCGGGGCAGGCCTTGCTCCTGTTTGGACTCCTGGCCGGATGCTGTGAACCTCACGCTGTCGGTGCCCGGGTTCTGCGCTCCTCTGTGCCGCCAGAGGCTGTGGTCTCTTGTTTGAAGAAGCTGCTCTGCAGCTTGGTCCGGGAGGCACCGGTGGCCTCGGCTGGGGGCAGTCTGGCCCCACTGCCTGGCGTGGCCCCGAGTCCGCCGAGTGTCCGAGTGAGAGCGTGCTCTCCACTGGGCTGGGGGAGACTCGAGTGAGCCCCCGCTCTGCGGCCCCTTTGCGCTCAGCCCTCTTGCCCACCTGGCCCCGAGGGGCTCCACCCTGTCCACTCGTGCAGGCCCAGGGAGCGCCACCAAGTGCCCTGCTCCGCAGAAGACGCCGGCTCTGCATCTCTTCTCACTCGCCTTGGGCTCTGCTGGGGGAGCTCGCGTGCGTCACCAACGCACGTCCAGGACAAGAGTGACCTCGTCTGCTTCCTCCTGTGGGGGCCGCCCCCGTCCCCCTGGTGCAGACGGCGTCAGCTCTCTGGTCCTCTGAGGTGAGAGAGGGCACACGTCCCACCGTCCCATCCTGGCTGTAAGCAGAGCCCGAACCCCACTCAGACGCCGAGGGCCTGACTGTCCTGCCTGCCTGCCTCGGGGAGACTGAGGTCCCGCTCACTCCTGCAGGTGGGCACCTGGGTGGCTTCTGCCCTTCGAGGGGCCTGGCGGTCCTGACCCTTCACGGGACCACCTCTCTCTGAACAGGGGTCAGAGCTCCTCTGTTCCCGCTCCGTGAGTGGTGGCCTCTCTCTGTTCCTCTGCCCACTGGACGGGCTGGGCCTCAGGAACGTCAGCGAGCGCCTTCAGGTCTTTTCCTTCCACGCTTCTTTCTGGAATGTCTCACTTCTCTCCCTGCTACAGACCTGGTCTGGGGTCACCCTCCTGCCTCCGTGAACTAACTTCTCACTAAACAAGGATCTCAGGCACATTTCCAGGGATGGGCGTGAAGCCATGAGCTAGTCAAGGGCTCCTGTGAGAGGCCCGGGGAGGAGCCTGTGTGAGGGGCTGACACCCCGAGAGGCCTGGGGAGGGGACGGGGGGACGGGGGGGACGGGGGGACGGGGGGACAGCGGGACGGGGGGGACGGGGGGACGGGGGGGACAGCGGGACGGGGGGACAGGGGAGGACGGGGGGGACGGGGGGACGGGGGGGACGGGGGGGACAGCGGGACGGGGGGGACGGGGGGGACGGAGGGGACAGGGGGGACGGGGGGGACAGGGGGGACGGGGGGACGGGGGGACGGGGGGGACGGGGGGACAGCGGGGACGGGGGGGACGGGGGAGACGGGGGGAGACGGGGGAATGGGGGGGACGGGGGGGGACGGCGGGGACGGGGTGACGGGGGGACAGTGGGACGGGGGGACGGGGGGGGACGGGGGGACTGGGGGGGATGGGGGGACGGGGGCGACGGGGGGACGGGGGGGAGGGGGGGGACAGCGGGACGGGGGGGAGACGGGGGGGACAGGGGGGACGGGGGAGACGGGGGGACAGGGGGGACGGGGGGGACGGGGGGACAGGGGGGGACGGGGGGGACGGGGGGAGACGGGGGGAGACGGGGGGACGGGGGAATGGGGGGGCACGGGGGGACGGGGGGACGGGGGGACGGAGGGGACGGGGGAATGGGGGGGACTGGGGGTGCGCCTCCCTGGGAGGAGCACACAGGGTGACCCGCCTGGTGGGAGGTGGGGAGGAGGTCCTCAGTCGGGGGCCGGGAAGCTGCGGCCCTGGGGCTGGAAGCAGGAGGAGGGACTCACTTGCCCCACACTCTGCCAAAGGCCCAAGTTCAAGGCTAAAGGATTTTTATCACATCCAGTTGTAAATCAGGAAGAAGGCAGGATGGTAGGTTCACTTTGGAGCCTCAGGGACAAAGGTTTCCTGGCAGCAGCTTAGTCGGGGAGCAGTTCCTCCCACACCTGGCATCTCGGGAGATGTGTCTGGACACCGGGACAGCCGCTCACCAGACAGCCACTTGCCGGCCAGCACCGCCCCTCCTCACCGACCAGCACTCGGAAGGCTCCAAGCGGCGAGGGGCCAGCCTGACCACAGCCACCCAAACATCTCAGAGAACAAGGAAACCCGACATGCTGCCTCCCAGGATGCAACAAGCACACGGGAGACGCGTCGTGGGCTCATCTGCCCACCTCCCAGGACATCACTGCACAACCTGGCGCTCGAGCCTGTTCAGAGCCCGTCCTAGTGGAAAAGGTACATTCCCACTGGGGTATGTGCCTAAGCTGGCCCCACACACACAGGTGCACACTCACCCCTACAGACCTGCAGGCACACACGCAACAGGTGCACACTCACCCCTACACACCTGCAGGCACACACCCAACAGGTGCACACTCACTCCTACACACTTGCACACACATACACATGTGCATGCTCACCCCTACACACCTGCAGGCACACACTGACAGGTGCACACTCCTGCACACTTGTACACACACATGCACACTCACAGGTGCACACTCCTGCACACTTGCACACACACTCACACAAGTGTATACACTCACCACTACACACCTGCAAGCACAAACTGACAGGTGCACACTCACAGGTGCACACTCCTATACATTTGCATGCACACAATCACACAGGTGTGCACACTCATTCCTACACACCTGCACACAAAGAGATGCACACATGCACACTCACCAAACATTATGGGTAGAAGCAGCTGAGATATGGGGGTTGAGGTCAGAGGTCAAACCCAACTCTGCCCCCAACTCACCATTTCCTTGAGTGTAAAGCCAGGGGCACGACCCCAACCTCTGCTAAACGTCACCCTGAGTGACAGGTTATTTGCAAAAACCAAACATGCTTACCCGCCCCCAGGGTAAGCATGTGCCTCACGAGGATGTTCAGACCGTCTCTGGGGGAAGCCCTGCTTCTGGGAATCTTGACTCATCTGCTTTCAAATCACAACCTACCCACTGCCAGGGGTCAGGTTCAGGGCTGAGCAGACGGGCCGTGGGGCCGTCCCAGGTCTTACCGCGTGGCCAGCTTGTGGCAGACGACGCCCGAATCGGTGATGACCTCACTCAGCCTCAGCTCCAGATGCACCTTGCCCTGGAAGGCACAAGGACAGGGGTCACGGGGGCCATGAGCAGCGGGAGCTCGCAGGCTCCCATCAAGCACTGGTGACATCTGACACCTGACCCTGCAAGGCATCCACGGCCCGTCTACCTGCCCAGCTCAGATCCCACAGTTTACGCCTCCAGCCCTCCTGCTTTATGTTGGGCAGGCTGCTAACGGCAAGCACTGCTTCAGAAGAAAGAAAAGAAAAGGCCTTGAGGGTGCAGTGTCTGCAGCGTGTCCGGCCGCCGCTTGGGCTGAGCTCACGGCACGTCGGGGGCCGTGGGCAGCAAGGGCAGCCCTGCTGCCGTCTTGGTGTCTGCCATGAGGCTGGTTGGAGGTCAGGAGCCTCAGCCCTGCTCTTCAGGAATGAAGTCAGTGCTCACAGATGCTCTGGGAGGAGGGGGCAGGCTGGAGGAACGCAGCTGGGCTGGGGCTGTGTGTGCAAAGGACACCTGGCTGAGGACAGCAAGTGGGCAGGATGGACTGGTGGACACAGCCAGGGCATTATCAGGGCTGCAAACAGAGCAGGGAAGACCAGTCCCCAAAAGTCCAACAGGAGGAGCGCGGTGCGGGTGCTTCTGGGAGTGAGTGTGACATTAAACTAGACTGGTTCTCCTTAGAAGACAGCGGCACTGGGTCACTGTCTCCAAGTTCCTTGCCAAAACCTCCCATGGACACAGGGGCCACTGGCTGCTTGGGGGCACATTCAAGTGTCCCCTGGGCTTGCTCTGACCCCAATGGGAACCAGGCCCTCACCTCTCCAGGGCGGTGGCTCCAGAACCCCTGCTAGGCTGAGGGCTGGGGTGGTCCCCCTCCCACAGGAGGGTCAGCTGAATCCTGCTAATTAGCTGTGAGCCCAGGCAAGACATACTAAGACTTCAGCAAGGGTTCTTGCGTTATGCTGGTCTGAGAGAAGAGAGACTCAGGGCAGAGCATTGAAAACGCTGACTTCATAAGACTTCCCAGTCTTACTTAAGGGAAATAATGACTGAACAGCATCACAGACCCACACGAAACGTCCACTGGGACAGACCAAACTGACTTTAAATACACGTTAGCTAGTCTAGAAAGCATCACAGCCACTCTCAGACCACACTGGAAACTGAACTAGAACTCAGTGATAGATAGAGAGCTAAAAATAACAAAATATATGGAGATTAAACAACATATTTCCAAATAACAAGGAGGCCAAAGCAGAAGTTTCAGGAAAAAAAAAAAACACTGAATTTGTTTCTTTTCATAAGTTGACATGAAATAAAGCATCAAGATTTATGAGATGTAGCCAAAGCAACATTTAGAGGGAAATTCAAAGCAGTGAATCCAGATATTGGAAAAGACGGAAGGTCTAAAAATCAATAATCTAAGCTTCCACCTTAGGAAACTAGGATAAGAAGACAAATTAAATCTAAAGTGCCAGAAGAAAACAAATAACCTGAATCAAAGCAGCAATCAATGAAAACAAAAACAGAAAATCAATAGAGAAAATACATAAACCAAAGCGATTTTAAAAAACAGCAGTAAAATTGGTAAACTTCTAGCTATGCTAAAAAAAGAGAAAGGAGACACGTTACTAAACCAGAAATGAAAGTGAAGCGTCGCTGCTGGCTCCTGGAAACCAGCTGTGGCTCAGATAGCGTGGCTAAGATCCACAGAGGGTGCCACGCGTGCTCGCGTCAGCCCACAAGGGCACACGCAGGCACACCCAGGACTGGCGGGACCCGAGTGGTGTCGGTGGCCCTGCCCAGGTGCACAGATGTCGCCAGGCAGGGTCTGGGGAGGGACAGGGCCTCGTCCCGATGTGTCTCTGAGTGTAAAGAGGCTAACCAGCATGCCCTGGGCAGCATTGCCTGTGCCTTCCTATGACTCAGTAACACCTTCAGAACTAAAGGTGAAGCTTTTTCACAAGGCAAGAACAAGGGAAGCCAGCACTTGCCACCGGAGCAGCATTGAGTCTGGGGACTAAGCAGTGGGTCTGTCGCGGCTGCAGGTGAAGTCTTCACAACAGCGGGGACGGGAGTGAAGCTCATGCAGCACACGCGTCTGAACCCTCCTGAGGAGGGGCCTCCTGGGCACCTGAGCAGCAGCGGCCTCTGTCCTCCACCAGCATCGGTGTCACAGTCAGGACCGCCCCTGGACTCGGGCACCACCCCTCATTCTGAGTGATCAGAGGCCCCTCCGCCTCCCGCAGCACATGGGCCTCAGTCAGATTGACCAAGTGTGAGCACCCTCACCACACCTTGGGCGTCTCCATGCACCTGTGTGCCATCTCCTTGTCACTGTCTGGGCATTGCCCCAGCGGCCACGAGGCGCCCGCAGCAGAAATCCTGAGCCCCAGCATGCAGCTCCAAGTTCAGTGGAGGCCCTGGGCCCACAAGGAGGCATGCGGACACTGGGCCAGGAGCCTGCGAAGGCCTCGTGGGCCCTCCTAGAGTTTGACCCCCGGGAAGGCCTTGTGGGCCCCCCTAGAGGATGTGGCCCGTGACCCTGCTGTTTGACCCCCGGGAAGGCCTCGTGGGCCCCCCTAGAGGATGTGGCCCGTGACCCTGCTGTTTGATCCCCAGGAAGGCCTCGTGGGTCCCCCTAGAGGATGTGGCCCGTGACCCTGCTGCTTACAAAACCCTGCGTTATGGTGAGGATGCCGAGGCCCAGAGCACCAGGGCCACGCTCCCCTGAGCGCAGCGCTGGCCCCGGGCTGCCACACTGCCCGCAGAGGCTCTGGTCCTGGAACTCCAGGCACAGCCTGGGCTCGGGGACAGGCTGACGAGGAGCACAGGCAGGGTCACCAGGGAAGAGAAGACGCAAGCAGCCCCCCCGACGAGCGTCTCCTGGACCCTGGGCCCAGGCAGTGGCACTGGTGGGGGAGAAGCCCCGGGCCTGGTCAAGGTGGCACTCCCAGTTAACACATGACCGGGGCACTAGGTGGGCCCTGGGGACACTCAGGCCATGGGCCCTCATCACCCCTTCAGGACTTCCTGGGGCAGGGAGCCAGGAACACGCGTGGGCGCCTCCAATAGACAGAGGCCGGGGCACTGGTGGGCCCTGGGGACACTCAGGCCATGGGCCCTCATCACCCCTTCAGGCCTTCCTAGGGCAGGGAGCCAGGAACACGCGTGGGCACCTCCAGTAGACAGAGGCCGGGGCACTGGGTGGGCCCTGGGGACACTCAGGCCATGGGCCCTCATCACCCCTTCAGGCCTTCCTAGGGCAGGGAGCCAGGAACACGCGTGGGCACCTCCAGTAGACAGAGGCCGGGGCACTGGGTGGGCCCTGGGGACACTCAGGCCATGGGCCCTCATCACCCCTTCAGGCCTTCCTGGGGCAGGGAGCCAGGAACACACGTGGGCGCCTCCAGTAGACAGAGGCCCACAGCCTTAGGTTTTCTCACCTTATTCTCTTTTTATCTTCAATTATCTGTTATGGTCTTTTGCATTTTACATTTTTAAGCTGCACAACTAAGTCTACAGCAACCAATGAACAAACAAAATGAACCACCCAGAAGGATACGCCGAGGGGGCAGTCTGCTAACCCTTGTTTCCACTGAAGACTAGAATCCTGCGTCTGTTTCTCTGGCCATAATCACCTCCACCTGAGGCACCTGGTCCCGTGGACTCCGCGAGCCTCACCTGCACTTCAGAGTCGGCATCCACATGCTGCAGCTGGAACCACGTGTCCCTGTTGTGGTACTTCTGCAGGTCCTCTTTCTGGATGGCCACCTTTCCTGGAAGACCAACGCAAAGGAGACCAGTCACGAGGGACCCATCTGCCCGCCCGACCTGCCCTGCTGGCAGGATCTCCACAGTCAGTGTCAGTCATCTCAGACGGAAACCCAGAATAGTGCATCAGGAGATGGACAATGCGGTAAGGTCACAAAGGCCACATTCTGTCTTGGAAGTACCACGTCCACCCAAACAAAGCCTGCCACTGCCATGGCATCCACAGCCTGAACCTTGGTGGGCTCCTCCTCCCATGTCACAGACTGTGGCTCAGGGACACCTGGTGGAAATCCTACAGGTCGGAGGGGCGGCCCTGCCAGGGGTGCTGCCTGGGCCTGGGGCGGGATGTGTGGGATGGGGTGAGGGGGCAGAAACCCAAGACAGCCACATCGCAGCCCCTCCTGCCCCAACATCCATGCTGTGGCACATGGTGGGTGGTGTCTGCTGAGGACTTTGCCGCACATCCCCTGGAAATGTGTGTGCTTGCATGAGCCACGGCTGAGAACTCACGCGTGTGCACACCTACTGTGTGTGCTTGTCTGAGCCATGGCTGAGAACTCACGCGTGTGCACACCTACTGTGTGTGCTTGTCTGAGCCACGACTGAGAACTCACGCATGTGCACACCTACTGTGTGTGCTTGCCTGAGCCACGGCTGAGAACTCACGCGTGTGCACACCTAGTGTGTGTGTGCTTGCCTGAGCCATGGCTGAGAACTCACGTGTGTGCACACCTAGAGTGTGTGTGCTTGCCTGAGCCATGGCTGAGAACTCACGCGTGTGCACACCTAGTGTGTGTGTGCTTGCCTGAGCCATGGCTGAGAACTCACGCGTGTGCACACCTAGTGTGTGTGTGCTTGCCTGAGCCATGGCTGAGAACTCACGCGTGTGCACACCTACTGTGTGTGCTTGTCTGAGCCACGGCTGAGAACTCACACATGTGCACACCTAGTGTGTGTGTGCTTGTGTGAGCCACGGCTGAGAACTCACGCGTGTGCACACCTAGTGTGTGTGCTTGCTTGAGCCATGGCTGAGAACTCACGCGTGTGCACACCTAGTGTGTGTGTGCTTGCCTGAGCCATGGCTGAGAACTCACGCGTGTGCACACCTACTGTGTGTGCTTGTCTGAGCCAAGGCTGAGAACTCACGCGTGTGCACACCTAGTGTGTGTGTGCTTGTGTGAGCCACGGCTGAGAACTCACGCGTGTGCACACCTAGTGTGTGTGCTTGCCTGAGCCATGGCTGAGAACTCATGCATGTGCACACCTAGTGTGTGTGTGCTTGCCTGAGCCATGGCTGAGAACTCACGCGTGTGCACACCTACTGTGTGTGCTTGTCTGAGCCACAGCTGATAACTCACACGTGTGCACACCTAGTGTGTGTGTGCTTGTGTGAGCCACGGCTGAGAACTCACGCGTGTGCACACCTAATGTGTGTGCTTGCCTGAGCCACGGCTGAGAACTCATGCGTGTGCACACCTAGTGTGTGTGTGCTTGCGTGAGCCACGACTGAGAACTCACGCGTGTGCACACCTACTGTGTGTGTGCTTGCGTGAGCCACGACTGAGAACTCACGCGTGTGCACACCTACTGTGTGTGCTTGCCTGAGCCACGGCTGAGAACTCACGCATGTGCACACCTAGTGTGTGTGCTTGCCTGAGCCATGGCTGAGAACTCATGCGTGTGCATATCTAGCTCATGGGAGCATGCACAGTTGGTTCACACAGTGTGCATGTGTGTGCGTTTAGCTTATATAGCATGCGTGCACACGTGTTCCTGTCAGGCCTGCGGGATGAGCTGGTTATCACCCTACCGGGTCTATGAATCAGTGTTTCTCAACATGTGATCATGGGCCCCCTGCATTGAAACAGCCGCAGGGCTTCCTAATGCAAGTTCCCGGGCTTGTTACAGATGAGAAAGCAGCTTCCGGGGTGGAGCAATATCCAGAGGAATTCCTCCTGGAATCTGCATTTCCACAAAATCCCCAGGGAACTCCTGGGGTCCCAAAGTTTGAGGATGCCCACTCTTAACAGTTTTACGTTCCTGACGCAGGCTTGGTACTGAGGAGTCAGAATATCAGTGAAAACATATACATAAATACACGTGTGTGATGTATATTACCTGGCACAGAATTGAGTATTTAAATATATATCTACAACCATCATGCATCGTTCATTCCTTTTTCTTTCCAAAAAAGCACATGGGCAGTTAGCAGATGTATGCCTACGGCTTGGGGGGACAGAGGACACCAGGCTGCCCACATGTCCCCACACTCCGTGGCCTCGAGCATGGGGACCACACTGTCCATCACGGGAGGGGAGGTGGGAGCCTGGCCATGTAAGCAGCCCTGTACACGTGTGTGTGCACATGTACACACATGTCTTAAATACACAGTAAATCACATACAGAAATAGGAACAATAAAGGACAACATAAAATTACACACTTTTTAAATTCAGTTGTTTCCTTTTGTAAATCACATACAGAAATAGGAACAATAAAGGACAACATAAAATTACACGCTTTTTAAATTCAGTTGTTTCCTTTTGGAGCTCAGAACACACAGCCTAAATCAGGACCACAGTCTCGTCACCACAGGCAACACTAGTGAAGAGCCCGGAGCTGGCGGGCCAGCCCTGCCCTCACCCAGGACATACAGTCCTCCTTTCCCAGGAGGAGTGCTCCATCTTGGGCTTCCGCAAAGGTACATGCCGGCTCCCATGAGACAGGAGCACTGGCAGCCTCACAGGAAGGCCTGCCCCGTGGGTCCCCAAACCTTCTGTCCTCTCACTTCATCCAGCAGCCGTCTGGGGGCAGGCGGCAGGTGGCTGATGCGGCCTGGTCACTGAACAGATGGCCTGTCCTGTGAGGCTCTGGGTCTCCTGCCTCATCAGGCACCTTGCCTTCCTGTCTTTCTGCCTCGTGCTTCTCCCAGACGCTGTCCCACCAGGCTCTCCCACGATGCACCCCCCTCTATGGCTCCCCTGGGACCTGCAGGCGGCCTCGCTGGGGCCTGGTCCCATCTGCCAGGAGTGGGGAGGTTTGAGGAGAAGGATGCCCTGATGCTGGCTCTGGGGGCTCTGGACATGCACCCACAATATAGGCGGTGATATCAAAGCCAGAGCAGTGAGGAGGTGTCAGCCCCAGAGGGTCCTGCACAGTCCGTACCCCCCGGCCCCTCCTTTGTCTCGACACTCCTCCGAAACCTGCTGTCCCTTCACTAAGATGTGCTGCTAACCCACGCCACCACCTTCACTAAGATGTGCTGCTAACCCACGCCACCAGCTCCTCCTCACTGCTGAGGTGTCTCCCCGCCGCATGTGCTTTAAGAGGAATTGAAAATGCTTGGTTCTTCTTGTTAGTCTGTCTTCTGTCTAGTTTTGCAAGGGCAGTTGGAGTACCCAGGTGGGTTAGACAAGGCCTCTGCCCTGCAGTTTTCACACCCTGGACTCCAGACATTGACAGATGCACCTGCCAGGCACAGTGGGAAGTTAGAAATGAAACAGGGACACGCCACCCCGAGAGCTGCGGTGGCTCAAGGCCAGCCCTCTGTGCAGAGTGGACGCAGCAGGCCAGCCCCAGCCCCTGCTCACGTCGACCTCGCTGGCTCAGCTCTGGCCATGCAGAGCCGAATCCTGCCCGCCACGGGCCTCACGGGGCACAGCACACAGGCTCAGATGCGGGGCCCGTGCCAGCGAGGAGGCAGAGGGCGCCCGTCACACAGCAGCACAGGCTGCCGCAGAGAGCAGGCCCCAGGAGAGCAGAGGACTCAAGTCACAGCCAGGAGGGCCTTACTCCAGTCAGCAGCAGCGACCCACCCAGACTCCTCCCCTACCACCACGCCTGGTTTCGGGGGGCATCTCGCCAGGGCCTGACGTGGGTTCCCCCACCTCTGACCTCCTGTCAGCAGGCAGAGCCCCCAGGAGAAGCCTGCTGCTTCTCTGCTTGGCTCCTACAGAACTCTACCCTTTTCCCTGATGGGAATATGACTTTGAGTCTTGCAGGCATAAAGCCACAAGAAACAAACATTTCTTGGAACTGAATTGGGCAACACATTTCATTGAAAAGGGATAAAGAAATTTTCAGACTCCATGATTAGTTCAGCTGGATAGGAGCGTTACATTTGAAGTTTGAGATTTTAAGTAACCACAGTGTTTTCAGGATTTTTTACTGGAGTAGGGAGGAGTCACATATTTAATACTCAAACGACTTCTATACCTTACACATCAGTACTACTTTATTTTTGAAAGTACTTAATTCAGATTCAAGTGGGTAATACAGAAACAGAGAATAAAATCTGAAACATCCAAAAAGATATAAAATACAGCTAAGAATAAGTTTGTCTCTCCCCTGCTACAGAGATTCCACCTTGGGGTCACCTCTGTCACCAGCTTCCAGCCTGTCCTTCTAGAGGCTGACCACGTCAAGAACATACGGACGTGCACTCTTTACATGTGAGAGGCAGTGCTTCCACAGGCTGTCCTGGGGAGCACTGACCTGCAAACCACTTAAATGTGCCCAACGTGCCATAATCCCTCGCTTCCCTGATTGATCTGGGTGACATCAGGTCACTATGTCCCCTGGGCCTCACCCACTCAGGAGGACAGACCCAGGACCCACTCAGGAGGAAAGGCGCACAGCTGCTCCACCACTAAAATTCCCATGTGTTACTTCCTCTGGTGGCACTATACCTGCTGGGGTCTACTCAGAAGAGACAGGCGTCTCAGGTAGTTCAAGAAGCGGCATGTGATGGGGGGACAGGTAAGGCACAGAGGCGGGGGAAGGTGGGCAGCCAAGGGTGACACCTTCAGGACGGCAGCGAAGAGAGGACAGCTAGACGCCCCCCAAGACAGGCGGGGGCAGAGACACTCGGCACTCCTGTTCAGCCTGGCGTCCAGCAGGTGCACAGAGGCAGAGAGAGAAACAAGGGCCTGCAGACTCGAAGGGAAGAAATAAGCCTTTACTTACAGAATCTACAGGGAAAGCTAGTAGAGTAGCTGTGTTTAGCA